GCCCTGCGCCTGGCCGCCCCCGCCCCGCCACCGCCACCCCGGCCTGGCCGAGGGCCCGGCCCACCTGCGCGATGAAGGCGGGTGAGGGATCAGCCTGCAGGTAGAGGCGCGGGGCGCAGGGCGGCAGGGCGGGTCAAACAGATTTATGCCGGGCAAACTGAGACGTACGGCGACAATTTACACTCGCTGGCGGGCAGGCCGGCCAGGACGAGGTGGCAGGCAAAAGGCGGGCAGGCGGCGTGGGAACCAGGGGAACCAGGGGCACCAGGGGCCGCGTCGACAGCGCCAGCAGTACAGCAGCGACACCCCAGCCCGGCCTCCCTGCCGCATGAACGTGAAAGACTGCTGTTTTGCTCGGCGCGGACGGCCGCGGACGGCGGCGACCGTTCAAAGTAACGGATAGGCTTTGATTTGAGGACCCCCGGCCTCCGGGCCTCTGGGCTGCAGCTTTTCGGCCCTCTTTCTGGCGGGGCCCGAGTACGCGCCGCTGCAGCCGCAACGCGCCGCCGCAATGGTAGTGGGTACAGCGGTAGTTAGGGGACTTGCAAACTCGAACACACCGACCGGCGGGGCTGGCGGGGCCACCCTCGCAATGACCGCTGCAACCTCGGCCGCAAGCCCCAGCCGCCACCGCAGCCGCCGCAAGCATAGTAGCAATAGTGCAAACGGGGGATTTTATGGCAGGCTGGGGGCGGCTTGGGCGGTGTGCTGCCTGCGCTGCCTGCGCTGCCTGCGCTGCCTCGCGGTAACGTACGTGCGGCTTGACCGACCCCCGCCGGCCCTGCCCCCTCGCCAGGCTCCGCAAGGCCCTCACGTGGCGCGCGCTCAGCGACGCAACTTTGTACCGAGTCCGTCCTAACCCCGGCGAGCCTGTCCCACTCCGCCGCTCCGCCGCTCCGCCCTGCAGCCAAAGATCACGTCCACTACCCTCTCCCTAATACGATTCTTTTTTTTTCGGGGGAATGCTTCTCTAAACTTCCGCCCCTGCGTTCCAAATTGTCTCTCTCTCACACACACTTACACGAACCCACACACACGTCGCGCGGGGCGGCGGGGCGTGCACTGCCGGGCCGGTTAGCGCACGTGACCTTTGCTGGCCAATCTGCGGCCGAACCCTTTGTCCGATGAAACGCTAGAAAAGACCTGTAAAGTAAAAAGCCCGACGAAAACGGGTAAGCCGCGGGCATCACTCAGCCAATCACGTGCGCGCATCGTTCATCCCAACGTCGAGGGTTCAAATACCTGCCCTTAAGGTCGTTTTTCCCGCCGCCTGCGTTATCTTGTTTTTTATCTATTTTGTTGTCTTTTTTTTTTGCGAACCCATCCAAAGGAAAAAGGCCGCTTTTTCAGCGCTGTCGTGATCTCTATCTCCACTGCGATGAAAACCATACGGCGCCCCAGCCAGCGACAGCGACAGGGTGATCCACAGCGGGACATAATGGGGGCCTCTCACGACGGCCCGTGTGTGTGTGTGTGTGTGTGTGTGTGTGTGTGTGTGTGTGTGTGTGTGTGTGTGCGCGCGCGCGCGCGCGTGTGTGTGCGTGCACTGGCGCGGCGAATGAAGGGTGTGAACTGCAGTAGTTGTTGTCGTGGCGGGGCGGGCGGGGCGGCAGTTGATTCACGACCGAGCAATAACTCTTGGAATGAGGAGCCGAGCACTCACTCGCTCAGTCAACCCTTCCCTGCACCGGTCGCTCGTCGCTCTCGCTCTTCAGCCGCAGACGGGCTGGGCTAGGCGGGCCAGCATAGGCCAGCATAGGCCAGCATAGGCCAGCATAGGCCAGCATAGGCCGATTCCGAGGGTCGTTTTGTCGCGCTGTCTCTCTCGCGCCTATGCGGGCGCCTTGCGAGTAGGCAACTCACCTCGCTTGCGCGCGGCCCTGCGCCGCGGGACTGCCTACCGCGACGGGGCTCTGCGCCGCCACGGCCGCCACGCCAGCAGAGCACCGCGCCAGCAGAGCACCGCGCCGTGGCGGCCATGGCGCCATCTCCATTCCACTCGCCGTAAATTGGCGTTACGTTCGGCCTCGGCCCTCGCCGCTCGCCCTCACTCTGGTCCTGAGCCGGGGCGGGCCGGCAGGGCGGGCCGGCAGGGCGGCAGAGCCGGTGCCGTTCCCACCGAACGACGGCTCTGTCGCACTGCCGCGCCTCGACCCTCAACCCGCCTCAACCCGCCTCAACCCGCCTCAACCCGCCCCCCGTGCGCCGATCTACGTTTGCAAAACTTTGTAAACCCATTCTGTCCTCTGTCACGAGGCAAAAAAAAAGGAGTAAATGACCGGGGAGCAAACGTGCGGCCTGAACTCCTAAACCTTGGCCTCCAACCCCACGCCGCCGCACCACCACCTGGCCCGAGATGCCTCGCCCCTCCTTGTTCTTGCCGCACAGCCCAGCCTAGCCGCACCTCGCTAACGACCTGCTACGTAATCCGGCGCGCTTCCAGCTTTTATCTGCGCGATAAAACTTGAACGAATTTCAAGTTTGCCGAGTGGTAGAGGAACCAGAGGCACCGCCCTCTCCTCTCTCCTGCCCCACCCCGATTTCTCTTTCTCTGCGTAGTCTCTTCTTTCCTTCCCCAATCTCCTGCTCGTTGGCCTGTTGGCCTGACTCCCCCGCCGCGCCACCACGGCTTGCCCGGCTTGCCCGGCTTGCCGGCTTGCCGGAGAAGTACTGCACGCCGCGCCGCGTCGCCAAGAGGCGTCCCTCCTGACGAACGGGCGCCAACTTCGCACACTACCGCATGCAGCTGCGCTTGCGCTGGAGGCGGCAGGAGGCGACTGGGGGAAGCTTTCTTCGAGATTGGGGATCACGCTGTGGCGCGTGCCCGAGACCACCCAGACTCGGTCTATCCCTCTCGCACCTGTACCGATACCCCACCAGCTCCAGAGAGAGAGAGAGAGAGAGAGAGAGAGAGAGAGAGAGAGAGAGAGAGAGAGAGAGAGAAAGAGGCCTCACGCGGAATCAGTCTGCTGTCACAGTGTAGGGGCCCACCTTCCGGAGTAAACAGCTCGCTGGAACACCCCCCTCGGGAAAGGGAATGCTCTCGAGGAGTGCGAACGTTGACGCGTCACCGTCATGGCCTGAGCGAGCACGCGTGCGAGTGCGTGCCGCTCGGCGTGCCGTGCAGGCTGTCGCGCTGTCGCCCGTCCCGTCTCTCTCGCACTCGTGGTGCGTCTCGTGGCGGCGCGAGAGAGACGGGGCGACGAAGCCCCGTTCGGAATGAGTCGGCTGCTGCTGCGCGCTGCGCGCCGCGCCATTCCTCCGAATCACTCGCTGCATTCCGTCCTGCTCGCACCCATTAGGGCGGCAGGGCCGAGGGCCGCCGAGGGCAGGGCGGCCACCCTTCCCTCCGCTCGCTTGGTTCCCTTCGCCGCGGAAGCCTTTTACCTCGTGCAACATTAAGGAGGAATTTCATTAGTGGCCGTTTGTCCTCTCTTTCCCCCTCCACCCAAACCTTCCCGATGGGCTCAAGTTTTCCCCTGCAGACGCTTTCCGCTTGGAGCGCGCACTCGTTTTGACTCGCAAGTCTGTGGGTTCAAATACCGACAGCAGCAGTCGCTGATTCGCCTCCCCCCACCTCTACCCCCAAAAAAGCCGCGCCGGATAGGCTAGCAGTAGGCGAGGATTGTCCGTTTGGTGGACGTTGTGATGCGAGACGCGTGCTGACGCGTGCCTCGTGACGGAGTGACGTGACGGGAGGAGGCGGACTCACGGCCCTCGAAGGCGGTTTACTGCTGGGGGAGGGCAGGGATGGGCAGGGACCGCCAACAGCGCCACGGAGTACCGCAGCCCGATAACACTTATCGGAAGGCGCGCCAACCAGAATATAGACCGGGTAAGATTTTTAGGCGGCGTGGCACGCCGTGCCACGCGCCCTGGCGTCCACCAGCTCATTAATTCTTGCTTAGCAAGAGCAGAGGACGAGGCCACCAAAATGAAAAGCTCTGCCCGGCTATAAAATACTGCGCTAGCTGGAACTGTCGAGATTACGTCTCTCCTGAGAACGAAAGAATTCATACCACTCACCTAGATCCCTAACAAGTTGAAAAATGAGCCTCCAGGCGCGGACCGCTGCCGCCCCCGCTTCGCCTTCGTGTGGGCCCCGCCGCGCCCCGCCGCCACCCTGCCACGTTGCCCCTGAGAGGGCTCCACCTGGGGTTGAAGTCGTTAGGCAGGTAGATACAGGTGGTGCGTTTACTGTTACGGAAGCGTAACCATCATAAACTGAGGAAAAAGCCTGGCCTATCTTCTTCTAGCAGGCCTCCTCCTTTTTCTCTCTTTTTTTTCAGGAGTAAAAGTTGTATAGTTTTTCCTCGATACAAAAAGAAAATAATGGATGGGCGGTAAAAAGGCCCAGCAGTACTCTCCTCCTCGGCGCCCAATGGTGCGAGCTCCATCGTCTCTGCCTCTGTTTCGAGGACGGATTCCCATGACTTTCAGGATTCAGGACCGAGCCGCGGGTTTGAAGTGCCTCGAAGAAATTTGTCGCTCGAAAAATCCAAATCCTGCTGGCCGTCGCACCTGTTTACCTCTTGGAGCGACTCTGTCGATTAGACTGCACTTGCCCTGGAAGTTGGTCGTCGATCAAAAATCCGGCTGGAACTTCCCTAGGATCGTTCCCGGCCATTCCAAACATTTCATAAGTTTGGATAAGTTGTGATCAAGGACGAACACAGACACGCTCATCGCTGCGATCACGCAGGCACTCATGGGCCAAGACAGTCACCCAAATGGGAGAGGGACAGCAAATCGACAAGTGGTCTTTCACGTGTAAAATGTATGGATCCGAGTGCGCCGACACCTGTGTGAAAACAGTCTGGAGAATAAAATCTTAGCCGATTCCTCAGAACCATAGAGGATTCTCTTCGGCTTTTTCCGGCTCAGTTCCCCACCCCTCCGCACGCGCACTCCCCCACCCCCTGGCTCCCCCCTCCTCCCCCTCCTTCGTCATTCGCGCGCGCTATTGCGGTTCGTGTCGTTCGTGTCGCCGCTCGCTCGCCCGCCCGCGCCCGCGCCCGCCGGGCCGGAGTTCAGTTCGCATCCGCATCGCTCGCAAGTCACTGTTCCACTTCGCTTCGCTGTTCGGCTGTTCGGCTGTTCGCTGTCGCGGCCATTTGACACATTTGACTTGTGCACAACCTCTCCCGTTCACTTCCTTTTATTCCTTCGACTTCCCAAGCGGATCGGAATTTTTAATTTTGTTATTTTCATCCACGTACATACAGGTTAGATACGGATTGGATTGTGTGTGTGTGCGTGCAGCTTGTTGCTTCCAGCTCTGCCTCATGTTGACTTTGTAACTTGCGGACTTATGCGAATTAATCTCTTGTTTTAGCCATGGATGACGATATAACGATTATCAAATCGCTAATTGCCATAAGCAAGGGAGGATTACTCCTTAAAGACATTCAAAGTAAGTGTATTACCGTGTTTTCATCTTCAGTATTCAACCTTCCAACGCATTACTTCTGCATTGTTTTCTCTGTTCCTTAGGAGAGTATCGTGACATGAACGGGTATTCCCTAAATTTTCGTAAGTATGGGTTCGAGTCCATTGAACAAATGCTACAATCATCAAAGGATATCGTCCTGCGACCCTCTGTTAGAGGTACTCTCTGTCAAGTGCATGATGAAAAGATGAGCCATGTTACATCTTTAGTCGACAGAACAAAGACAAGGGTATGTATTTCAATGTGTTGTCTTTGTCATCATCAGATGCCTCACTTGACTCTTCAAAATCTTCGTTTCAGGGTGCTAAGAAAAATAGACCAGGCCCAAAACTAAAGTCTTACGTAAGTTTTAAAAATCTTCCAGCACAATGAATTTACATCCTATATATAACATTATTTAATTATTATGTTGTTCAATTGTTTGCAGAACCATTCCAGAGGATTTTCTCCACAGCCTCGATATGGTGTCAGCAGGCGTGGGAGTGTGAGTGAGCTTAATAGAAGACCATTTCAACCTGCAAATAGAATGCAATACGACAACCACAGAAGAGCAGCTTCTCCTAGAACTCAAGCCGTCTCAAGATTTCCAGCCACTTCACATAAGAAGCAGTATAGCCAGAATTATCATCATCATCCTCAATCATCTGCTAACCATTTTGAAAGAAGTAAGAGGAATGAACCACAGCCATTGCAATCCAACGCCATTGGTTCTACTGTCAGCATACCGCTGAAAACAACTGATGACACTAGTAGTGGGTGGAGTTCAGATTCTTCAGAACCACCCCATACTATCAAGCCTTCTGAGCCCGCTGTAAGAAAGCCGTCAGAACCTAACTTGCGCAGTCAAACTGTTGTGAAGGCACAAGCAGTTAACAAAGCATGCCAAGTGATCAAGGGCAGCAGTACAACTAGTGATAGTGATTGGTCATCCTTGGAATCCGAAAGTGCTGCTTCTCGGACAGACGTCTCTAAGAAAATTACTACTCATCCCAGGATCAATTACCCTTCAGTGCCATTACAAAATGATGCTGCCAAACTCCGACCACAGCTCAAGACTAAATCAGACTCAAATTCTGATTGGTCAGACTCTTCAGGGCACAGTAAACAACAGCCTTCCCAATCAAGCTCAAGTTCCAAACCATCTTCTAGTGCTATGCCATATGCTGAACGACCGTTAATGGTTGGTGGTGTTGGTCGTGGTAGAGCTTACCTCCAACTTAGTAAAGTTAAACCTGAAATGCACAGGCTTCAACATCCATCAACTGGTGAGCTATTTTGTACTTGCATCTATTTTTGCTCAGTGTTGCTATTGCTAGCTGTGTACTAATGACAATTTGACAGATGTTATTGTCACAGGATCTCCTTGTAACCGTGAGACTTCCAGAACAGTGAAGGATGGTCTGTCAACAATTCTTGTCAAAGTTCGAAAACCTGCCATTGCAATTCCAAAGCTAAAGGAGGTATGTTGAGTAATGAACATTGTTGTCCATATTTTAGTCACCATAGAGCCATTGAACAAGCTTATTTTATTTTTCTTCAGGTGACTACTCTCTACCAATTGCCAAATTTTGCGAGTTATCAATTCATTGGAGACTTCCTATTGCACCGAGTAGCTGAAGTTACATTGGGCTTAAAATTCCCTGAAAATAGTATGAATATAGTGTGATGTATAACTGCTTTTGTATGTTTAATTGGCTCCTAGTTAATTGCAACTTGATGTTCTGTTGCAGGAGGTCTCTGTCGTTGTCATTTTTCAATTGTGGACTGTATAAAGGAAATTAGAAAGAATGGAAGTTCAAGACCTATCATTCTAATGATTGGGATGACTGATATATTAGAGGTTTGTGAATGTCTTAAGTTTTGTAAATATTTATTTCCCAGTATTCATTTCCTCTCTTACATGAGTGATGTGAATTTTGCAGGGAGCTACTTTTGACGAAATGAAGAAGCTCACAACTCTGCTACTACAGACGATGTCTGCGAGAAGCATTGTGTTGTTGACGCTACCTGTTCTACCGTCATTCATCCAGATTGGATTTGAATCAAAACTTGCTGTCTTAGAGAAGTACAACAAATGGCTTCTGAATCTCCCATTGCAAAGGAAGTTTAAAGGTAATATGAGAAAAACTTTCTTGATGTACAGCTACTGAATTCCTTACTTGCATATGTACTTAAATTTCAATTTACTTGTTTTTCAGCTATAATTGAGACTGAACAGTACTTGTATTGTGATGCGCCATTTTACTCAAGGTGAAAATTTTAGTTGATTTCTTGAATGAGGGTTGCCATAAATTGTTTTTTATACCTGACTTCTCTTTTCACAGAACTGCCAGATCTGAAGTGGAAACTTTTTCTGATGCTGGCTGCTGGGTTGTTATTGATGAGATCACAGCAGCAGCAACCAAATAATTTATTTTTTACGGAAGACTGATATTATCTTTTGTGTATTACACTCTGATGGCCCTTAGTGCCTGATGTTCTTTTATAAGTTAGAATTTTATTACAGAATAGACAATTAAAATTTGTTTCATTATCATACTGTAGGATTTGTCATTTACAAAACCTGTCAGTGTTTGGAACCATGGAAAATTTTGTCAGTGTGATCTCTCTACCATTTAAATCAAAGTTTTAACATGGTTAGAAATATGGGGCCTCTGTTATTTATAATTGTGTGCTGTAATCTCTTCAAAAAACAATTGGAATTTTTTTTTTATTTTTTTGCTGTAAGTCTGTGATACCTAATATAGTGGGCAGATATCAGTTGATACCAATTTGTTGAGAGTGAAGTTAAGCCTTATGTATTGGAGTGTTTTTAAATAAAGAACCCTGTAAGTTTATTAAATACCCTTTATGATAAGAAAATTGTGTTCAAGTTTTTGAGAATGCAGAACCTGTTACAGCCATGCATTGACACTATGATGCAGATATATTATAATGATTTGTTTTTTGGACTTTTGTTGGTTACAAACATTGAAATGAAATTGTTTAAACTTCAAAGGAAAGGAAACCATAGTGTATTCAGTCCACAGTGCAGACACAAACTGAAAGAAGTTGAAGACTGCACTCAAAACACATCAATCACTAGATCAATTTCACATATTCTTAATTTTTTCCCCTTTATGTCTCACTCATCTTGTTCACAATTTAAACATTTCTTTTCAATAACATCACAGAGATCTGAATATAGGGTTTGGTACTCTGCAAACTGAAATGTTTACTCAACACAAATGACCTGTGTGTGCATACTTAAAAGGATGCACATGTACTTGGCAAGCATGCAGCCATGGACATGTTCTTGACCTCGTATATGTATGCAGACTTGAATAAAGATCTCGAACACATTTAAGTTTGCATAGTACACAAAGGACAAAAAAAGTGGTTTGCTTTACATCATTCAGAAAACAATGATGACGAGAATTAATTCAACACTCAACTATATTTACACAAAGAAACATATTTATCATAATCACACAGTCCTTAGGGTATGTCACATCATTATAAAACCAGGTAGGGCAGAATCGCTGTCATTTAATTAAATATATTTTTCTAGATTGGCTTAAGATAGCAGCAGCCTATACACCATACATTCCTATGCAAACTTGTCTGATTAAACAAGCTGAATGCTGAGTAATATGGAACTGCAAACTTATAGGAAATTACAGTATCATGGTGTTCTGCCCTACCTAGTATATTACTAAATTCTACATGATCATTTTGACAATGAAAATACAAATAATGTATTGCAAGTAACTGACAGTTCCTCTCGGTTCCTATGCAGTATTATGTAAATACAACTAGGAATAACTTGGCAGATCATGGCCTTGATGAAACAATATCTTATCACTGATCCCATCAGTTTGCTAGGGATTACTTTCACTTGAGAAAAAGAAGTCCATAACATTGAGATGCAAGCATCTAAGCATCAAATACCATGCTCCTTTGATAATAAAGGCAACATCTGCATCATCATTTAATTAACACCTGCATAGGTCGTTACAGGTTGCTTGAATTTACCAGTAGATTTAATTCCAACTGTTTTCTATTTGGTAACTGATTTAGGATCAATGATGTAAACCACTTCAAACTTTCCTTAAGTCAATATAATAAATAATTGGGGATTGAAAACAGGAAGGAAAAGGTGATAAGAACACAGGAAATAAAACATTGCTTAAAAGAGTATGGTTAATTACCGGTACATGTCACTAGCCTCATAGAGAGATAATTTAGAATAGATCAAACTTTCTTGTACCAATGCTAAAATCTTAAACATGAAACCTTTCATTTGCCAGGACGAAGCATTCAGCATTAACAACAACTATTGACTTTCAACTGCTGATGTGCACTAAAACCGTTCATAACCCACTAGGACAGACTCCTGCAAAATTGTTCCACATTCCACTAAAAGTAAAGACCCAGTAATAAAAATAATAGAACGACTTGAGCCTCATTTAAAAAACTACCTATTATAAAGGTTTGTCTTAAGCACTATCATACCCAAAGCCATGGGTCTTAAGTGGCATCTCCAGTAAATAAGTGAGAGTAAATATCACAGACAGTATGAAAGGATACATTTTGTTTTTGTTTCATGTGCAGTGTGACAAAGCACCTTGGATTTCAGGAAGGGCCCTGAACATGAACACTGGAGCTGCAACTCGAGACTCCTCATGACACTCCACCACATTGAAAGGATTACACAAAAGGAACGAGCAAAACTTAGCAGCAACTCAAAATTTGGTCAAATAAATGTAATCATGTCAACAAAAAGATTTAATTTAGTTGAGCAATACTGCTTGAAAGAGGGAGAGAGGGGAGGATATAAATAATTCATACTGATAATATAAGAATTATGTAAACAAACTTAAATGCACTTCCAATGAGAAAAATGCTGATGACAGGAGAATTAAGCTTCACTCTTCATCTTGTCCACAATAACACCGCAACCCAGTACATACAAATAGTCCTAAAAGCAGAGGTCCTGGGTGCGTCCTGGGGAGGATCAAACGGAGACAACCTGCTGCCACAACAGGGAGAGGGTCACACACACAACCTGCAAACATAAACGCCTCCCCACCCAGGATCCTGCCCCAACAAAGAATGAGACCAAATCTTCATCAACAGAAAGTTAAAACACACCAGTAAATCCACAATAACTTATATTGATAAATAATAGCCTACACTAATAAGTCCCATAAAACACACTTTGTATTTAATTTACAGTCAAACTGCAAAGTGCAGAAGAGATAGTACCACAGAGCAATGCTCGAAAATACATGGGGAAAAGGCAGGTATAACAGTTTGTTCTTTTTGCCGATTGTCCTTACTTAATATAAATGGTAGAGAGGAAGTGAAACATCTTTGACCAGTGCCAATATAATCACAAAATATAAGGGAAAAACAAGGTGGTAAACAAAGATCACTGTTGAGGTGCGCTCAAGGTCGTATCGACAAGAACCTGCTAAATTCTTAGGTTTTGGAAATGAACCTAGGAGGCTTCTGTCACGTTCTTTACGTTACCCATCGCGACACGAGTGAGAGCGCACCTTCATTGATCACAAATGCTTCCCAAAGCATCATTACACAACACATGTTGACATACAAAGAAATTATTAGTATTAATGTTATGCATTTATTATATCAACAGCAGACTTGCATATTGAGCTCGAGTAAGCCATGCTGTTCCATGGCATTTATTATACATATTGGTAAATATGTATACTCAAGGGAAGGGAAAGAAATGAAGAGGCTTTAACATTAACAGAAAACTGGAAGAGGTGGAAAGGTACTAAACTTAATATCACGAGTTTGGCGCAGCCTGAGTCTTCATAATTCATTAAAATAACACATATATACACCTATTTAAAACAGTTCATGGGAATTACGCATCCTTGTGACTGGGGTGGATGCATATTGCTTACAACACAAAAGAGATGCCAGTTTCATTATGCTTGATTTCTTGCAAGGAAGTTCCTAGAGATGACAGAAATGAAAGAGAGAAATTGCAGATGATCATTAGATAACAGCCAGATGACAAAAGACAAAATAAATGGAAAAGAATTTCTATGTACCTTCAAGAACGCTAACATTTGTCATAACTTTCACAGGGGGCTGGTTAGCACCCCAACAATGCAGAACACCATTTTCCCGCAATTGCTGGGCCTCTTTTCTAGCTGGGTTCCAGTCATCAGATTGTTCTGGACTACTGGCAGCAAATTGAATATCTCTCAGATCTGATAGCTCTGCTTCGTCTTGAGAATTTGTCTCCAGCCGATCCAGGTCGCCCGCTCTCTCAACTCTGTACATGCTTGTATTCATATTCCACACAAACAGACAACTGGTCTGGTATTGCTGACGATCATTTGTTAGCCTGGAAAGAGGTTTTGTGCATGATGTCAAGACCAGTGGGTTATCAGTACATCAAAGTATTTTAAATGGATGCAAACCTTTTGCTTTTTGGAGCACCTTTTAATTTTAAGGTAGCTTTAATCTTCATATAAGCTAAACATATTACATCAGCTGACTGTGGACACACCTTCGTGAATAAAAAGTTGAGCATTAAAACCAGCACAAAACATAAACCATTAACATGCAAAACACAACAAAAGTTAGTGGAAATTTGTTTTTTGTTTTTGTTTTTGTTTTGTTTTGTTTTTTATTTGAGGTGGAAGGACAGGGGAGCAGGTGATTAGAAAGAGGGAACTTACATCAACAATTTCCACATCATAATTATTGCAGTACCAGAATTTCATTCCTGCTTTTTCACATAAGACTTCTGCGACTTCATGACAAAATTGCTCAATATCAAAGCTCATCTGATGAACCAGAGCACAAGGTGCCATCTGCACACGCACGTAAGGAAAAGATTAATATGTGAAGCATACAAGAGAAAACTCTCAAATATTTGAGAAAGCTCTAAAATAGACTTACCAACTTCTCAGCCTTAGAATTAGAAATCATCTGCATCTGTACATAACCAGTACCATGGACCTCAAGAGGAAGAGCACTGTGAAAACCAGTTCCACCACTTTCATCATCATCTGAAACAAATTTAAAAAATTCAAAGACGAATAAGAACGATGCATATATTTTGAAAAAAGAAGAAAAAACGTGAAAAATGAAATAACTTGATTGATCGACTATTTCCTAGTTAATTACCTTCTATATCTGTTATAACAGACACAAGCTCGTCATCGACTTCTATGAAGCGGCGTTCAAACTGCACAGTGCATCCACCTTTTGACCATGAAAACTCTGCCTCTGAGGAATTAACACGTTTTGAAGCATCCATAAGTTTTACTGTATCCACACTTTTTGAGGTATCTGTGTGTTTAGTGGAGCTAGTACTCTTTGTTGAGAACATACTCCTGGCCGAATCCACCGCACTGGGCTCAACACTGGTACACACATTCTTTGAGGTATCTGAGTGTTTGAAGGAGTTAATACTTTTTGTTGGGAACATACTCCTGGCTGAATCCACTCCACTTGGCTCACCACTGGTATTATCTAAATGGGAACTTTCACCTTTGTCAGGACCCAGTCGAGGTTGGGGGGGAGACAAGAGTGGCTGCGTTAATGCTGAAAGAACATAATGAAGTAAGACTTAGAGGTCAAAATATTTCAGGCCAAGAAGAAAGAAACAGAACTTACAAAGATTTGCATTGTCTGCAAATGACAAATGTTTTTTGTTTGATTCTCTAGGCATATCCTGTTCTCTAGGTGATAGAAGGGGATGGTTGCGGTTGTGAGGTCGGAGTACAACTTTATCAGGTTCCACATTTGGGTCTAAAAATATTGATCCAGAAGAATTGGAATCGGATGTTTCACCATGCCCACTGCCAATTTGAGCAAAACTTTTCCAGCGAAGAGTAGAGGATCCATCGGAAGGATCAACCAACTGAAATAAAATTACGAAAGAATACAGTGTACTGTTTTGGAGAACCATTCTGACAGATGGCAGCATAGCACATGATGCAGCAAGTATTTGACACCTACCGAACATCTAGATCGTGCATCTGTGGAAATTAAAGCCAATAGTGCAGGAGGCAAGGAGTGGGCAGAAGAAGAAAGATTTGAAACTTCTGCATGAGATTGGCAGGGCTTTTTAGTAATTTCCCGAGGGATTTCTTGCTCCCTGGGTGACAGTAGGGGATGGTTGCGGTTGTGAGGTCGCAGCACAACTTTATCAGGTTCTACATTTGGATCAATAAATATTGATCCAGAAGAATTTGTGTCAGATGTTTCACCATGCCCACTTCCAATTTTAGCAAAACTTTTCCACCGCAAAGTCGAAGGTCCATCAGAAGGATCACCCAACTGAAAAAATAATTACAATAGAATACAGTGATTCTAAATGTGTCTGAAAAAAAAACCAGAAACAACCACATATTTTCAGACTCAAATTTAATACATGCTGCAAATATTTTTCACCTACCGAACTTGAACTTCTTGAGGAATTACGGTCCTTGGTGGTAAAAGTTAAAGGAGAAGGAGGCAGAGGATAGGCTGAAGAGGGTAAAATTGAAACTTCCGAGTGCCGACTTAATCGAAATGGTACAATGTTTTCACAGTCCTCTGTGTCCTCTTCACTAAACTCATACTTTTTGTCAGCTAAACATCGTTTTCTGAAAGAGCTGAGGCTTTCACAGATTCTTTCATCCTCTCTTTGTGCATTAAAATCATATGCTTTTCCGGCATCTGCTTTACTACTCAAGCGACCTTGCTGACTTCTCTGAGGCATATTGGTATGGGCTAGAAAAACATTAAATAATATGATTTAAAAGAAAAAAAAGTCTCATAAACCAGATACAAGATGAGGAAAATATTTCTGCTACCTCTTCGTCGAAGTGGAGGGCTCATAATTGCTGACCTTTGGCTACTGGCATCACTATCTGTTTCTAAAGTCAATGAGTCAGTTCTGCTGCAGATGTTTTGAGTTGAAGACAAACCAATGTACCCCTTTAAGAAATTTTTTTTTAAAGAAAAAGCAAACAATTATTAATGATAAACAATCAATAGATGTTGAAAAGATGTTGAAAAGTTGCTAGGTTGGTAATAAAATCACTATCATATGCTCTTACCTGAGAGATTATGTTAAGTTCATCGACTATGCTGTGTGAATCACTGGCATGATCCAAGGTGGCAGTTCCAGTTAGTGATGTAGGATCCAAACCAATAAGTGTCTGATTCTGATACTCGCTAAAGCGAACATTCAAGTTTGAAGATGCCAGAGATCTAGAGCGAAAAATAAACTGCTCACTGTAAAAGATGGAAACGCATTATAGAAGTTAAAGTACACCGTCCAGCTCCACAAAGCGAGTTGGAAGAAGAAAACCACTTACGACTGCATGTTACATGAATCTGAGGACTTTTTGGTTGATTTTGTCTCAAACACATTTTCGAGACCAACTCTCAATACATGAAGAAAGTTTCCAGAGTTTAAGACAACCTGAAAGATAATATCCAAATAAATACCTTACTATTCACAAACATAAACACACACACACTCATATATAAAGATGAATGCACATAAACAAGCAATTATGAACAACAGAAGGAAAAGTCTTACCCGGCCAGTGCTTTTCATGCTAGTGGTTGCAACAAAATTTGGGTAAGGTGGAGCCATATCAAATGACGTATGAACAGTAAGACCATGCATGAGGCAGTTCAATCTGGCACAGCTATCCCAGCTAGCAGCAATATCTGAGGAAAGGAGAAAGTGTGGAAGTGTAGATAATTTCCTTATCGTAAAAAAAAAAAACAATAAATTATGATTTAATATGTTTAAAAATAAAATTGTACCCTCTTCTTCAAATGATGCAGCAACTTTCTGGCATTCTTGACAGTTTTGCAAGGAGGGTACTGCTGTCACTGTTACATATGATCTGATGTTTTGAGTCACAAGACCATTAAAAGACTCATTGCTACGAGATTTTGTAAGATATAATAAAACAATTAACAAACAGGTAACCTCAGAAATAAATTTCAAATAAAATATCCTGAAGTCTCATAAAATCTTACCTTCGTCCAAAAACCACAATTTTGGATGAGTCTCTAGGCCACTGACAATAAGCCAGGTAAAGAGGGGAATACACATTGTAGTTTCCAAAGAGTGTAACTTCAGCTACTTTGCGTGCCTCTGCATAAGGCACAAAGGCCCACCAATGTAATCGATACTTAAAAATTGTATTGAATGAAATGGGTCGATCATCAAAGTCAGTAGTGTATGTGTAAGTTATGAGCAGTTGCCCACATGATGATATTCCAAGGAAGATATGGCTGTAAACAGTACAATATCAGTAAGTGCCTGATGTCTAATTTTCAGAAAAGCACAACTACTTCAAATAAGAAATAGAGCTTCCTGGAAATTAACAAAATATTAAAGCGCACTTTTTCAATTGACAAAAAAATAACAAAAAAAACATTTGTTTCATAGGTTGTCAACTTATTGCACACAATGTTAATAATTTATTGAACAAAAATAACAGAGGGACAAACCTGTGTAATGTTGCTGTAGGAAGAGTTTTGTGCAGAGGAAATTTCAGACGGGCTGGAGGAGTGGGAAATGTTGGTTTCAACTGGGACAAGCCACTCTGGAATTGTGAAATACGAATGCACACACTTAGGAGCAGACTAAAACAGACTGCAACAACGGAATTTTTAATATATCAAAACACTACGTCAATATCAAAAGCACTTTCTACACAAAGTAAGTTGTAACGTATGTACGAGTGACAACAATCGTCTGAATGGTGCTGGTGTGAGCCTTCCTTGCATTCGCACACCCAAAACCAACCTTAAAGATAATTAACTGTAGTGGTTTTCAGACTTTTCGAAGTCAAACCAACACAAACAAGGATAGATGGAACCTTATCCCAGTGAAGTATTGACGAGAACGCAACAAAGTAAATCAGAATAGGAAAACGAATCTCACCTCACGACAATACAGCTTGTGCAGGAAATGATCAGTTTTCTTACGTTTCGGGTTGGGTTTGGAAATGTTTGACTTATCCTGAAAAAAATCGGACTCACAGGAGCCATAACTGGTATCTAAACTTGTCTCTAAGTCTGTTTCAGACATGCTGAAAAATCTACAGATTTCGTTCCAGTTTTTCGTCAAAGATCATGAGAGATCGGTGACTGCTGTTGTTTTCATGTCGGACAGGGGAAAGACAGACTTTTCAGAAGACGGACGGACTGTTCTCGTACCAACTGCAAAAAATATTCATTTATGAAAAATTTGAAGAATTTTATTCAACATAAATTGGAAATAAATTTTATTAAAGAACCCCTATTGTAAAGATTTGTCGACAAAAAATTAATTGTGTTAAAATTTATGTCGAAAGTAGGAAACGCGATTCAGCTGTTGGTAGTACACCTGCTCTCCACAGCCTGCCATCTTTGCGAAGGATTATTTGTTGTTGCGGTTGACGTGATATTTTTATCCTTCACATTTTGGATTGAAGTCATTAACTTTCATCATAATTCGTTGCGGTTAGTATGTTGGAAAGTTTTGACAGTTTTTGTAACATCGTGAAGCCTTTGTGGTGCGCTTGTGTGCCTGCTTGCACGTGTAACCTCTCTCCTCGCCCATCGAACGTGTGGGCCGCTAAGTGACCGGACCGCTTATTGATTTTTTTGACGATTTTACACCCTTTTAATGTGAACATTTTTTATTAGCGATTCCCGTAGTTGTCCTTGACCCTTCCACCTTTACTTTTCTGCATTCAGTTCTTGCTTTTCTTTCATATAGGTCTGTACTTAGGTTGGGGCGGCACAAGCACAAGGCCTAACACGGTTTTGCTGCCCAAATTTTGGCATGTTATTTGTCATTGCTTATAGCTTGTAATGGGACATACAAATTTTTGATTGGATTTACCTCGTTTCTGTTTTTATTTTTTATTTCATGACTCGTAACGTTGTGTACGTCGTCTTGGTGGGCATCAATGGGGTTTAAGAAGTTTCATTGAGGATAATTGGGACTTAAGAATTTTGTTTTCTGTTGAGTTTTTTGTCTTGTTTTCTTTTTTTAATGTACCCTCTGAATTTGGGCTTTTCCACGTTTCCTGGATGCTTTCTTTAGTATCCCTTGGATTTTTTAAAATATTTTTTTGGTTGCTGTCAGTTCCTGTCAGTAACTGCAATACTTTGGTTATGTCCACTCTTGTTTCCCTTTGTTTCTCGATTTGTTTGCACCTTTTAGACTTTAAGTGTTTCTGTTTTGCGTTTCCATCTCAGTGCTCTCATAGAAAGAACGGTGGTTGATTTTTAACCAGTAGACTATTATGACAGACAATTTGGTAATCGTGTCTCTCATTTTGACAATACGTTTATGTTGAGTCATGATGCTAAAAGGACTTTAAAAGTAATGAAATTTCATGTTTTCCACATGAAAATCAGCTGTTCAGTTTGTTTTGGTTTTGTTTCTATTAATAGCCATCCCTCAGGTGTTGGAAGTTAGGATAGTCAAGTGGTAGGGTTGCCACTCCTGCCTCTTATTTTTAGCACATGAGTAATAATAAATAGTGTAGATGGAATGGTGCATTAGCCTTACCCTCTGTCTCTGTCTCTCTCTCTGTCTCTCTCTCTCTCTGTCTCTCTCTCTCTCTCTCTCTCTTTGTGTCCTTTTGGTTAAGATGATTGTTTGTTTAATTTGGGCTCAATTCAGTTTAATTGGATTGACACTTCGGTGATTTAAGATTACTCACCAGCTGATGGACATGAACAACTGTTTTCGTGTTAGTTTGTGCTTGCTCTTTATCATTTTACATTGTGTTCTGTTTACATTTGTGGCATTGTAACCCAGCAGACTCATCTCCCATCCATATCTTCTGCACTTTACTATAAATATATTGTACTGTTATAGTAACAAGCGGCGTATTGACTTCATAAATGAAAGGTTTTTGAATTATTATTCAATGAATTTGCTGGATTTGTTCTTTTGTGTATTTTGTAGCATGTCCCCATTATACCTTTAACTGACATAATACCACATTGTAAAAATAATAATCGCCAAAATTTTAATTAATGTTTAGGGGTTAGTGGATAAAAGGGGCGGGGGGGTGGTGGTAATTAACATTTGTCATTTTGTTTAGATTTTTTATTCATATTATGTAACTTGTAGTTTTAATTCTCTTGTGTTGGTAGTGTGGCTAGTAACCGGTTGTGACCATGTGGCCATGAGGTTACATAACCCGGAGAAGCTATCAGATTCCCCATGCCAGTGTGTCCCACATGTGGAGTGAGACAAGAGCTGCTGTTTGCCTCTGCAACTGATCAGTAACACTCTATCTTACAGTGCTGCTGGGGACTGGGCGTGAACATGCAGAACGTGAAAAGTGAAGTAGTTGCAAGTGACCACCGTTCTAATGGAGCCCATGGATCTGAAAAAGTAGCTATCCTTGATGCTGGTGCCCAGTATGGAAAAATCATAGACAGAAAGGTTCGAGAATTATGTGTTGAAAGTGATATTCTGCCTCTTGACACGCCTGCAGTGATCCTCAATGAAAAAGGATATAAGTAAGTTTTTTTTTTTAATTTTTCATCTTTTTTATTGACTTTTAACTAACTCTCAAGATAATATTTATGGTGGACTTCATATTACACTCTTGTATTCTTCTTTAGGGCTGTTATTATATCTGGTGGTCCCAATTCCGTCTATGCTGAAGATGCTCCTACATATGATCCTATGATTTTCAGGATAGGGGTCCCTGTTTTGGGTAAAGTTCAATTTTTTCTTTCAAAATAAAAAAACAATTTCTTCATGAATGAAAACCTATGCTAAAGGTGTGTCTACATAACTCTTAGATGCTTATGTAACATGTATTTAATTATGTCTTGGAAATACAGGTATTTGTTACGGCATGCAAATGCTTAACAAAGAGTTTGGAGGCCAAGTTGAGAGAAAAGAAGGTCGTGAAGATGGTCAGTTTGACATTGATGTTGATGCCACTTGTCTCTTATTTAAGTAAGTGTTAACAATTTTATACAGGTGTTTGCCATTGTCGGTATGGCCAATTACAACCCATCAAATTACTTACCTGTTTCTCTTTATCATTATTTTAGGGGGTTAGAAAATGTGCAGAGTGTTCTTCTAACACATGGTGATAGTATACACAAAGTTGCTGATCAGTTTAAAGTTGTTGCTAGATCGTCAAACTTTGTGGCTGGTATAGCCAATGAAAAGTTGCGCCTATATGGCGTCCAGTTTCATCCTGAGGTATTTTTCTTTTTTACTTTAACTTTAAGCATCAGTGACCAAATAATTAATTTTTTTACATTTGTATCAATGTTAGGTGGATCTTTCTGTGAATGGTAAAATCATGTTAAAGAATTTCCTCTTTGACATCTGTGGATTAACTGGAAGCTTTACCATGCAAGGCAGAGAACAGGAATGTATTAATTACATAAGGCAAACTGTTGGAAATAGTAAAGTCCTGGTAAGTGCAGAAATTGATTACAATAGTCTTTTTCTGTCTTGAAAGCCATTGAAATTAAACAAATGCTTTTTTTCTACCAGCTTCTTGTTAGTGGGGGAGTGGATTCAACGGTGTGTGCAGCTCTGTTACATAAAGCTCTCCATAGAGACCAAGTGATTGCTGTGCATATTGACAATGGCTTCATGCGTAAAAATGAAAGTATGCTTGTTGAGGAATCCCTCAAGAAGATTGGTTTAGATTTGAAAGGTGAGCATCTGGTAACAAGAGCACAAGGCAATGTTTTCCAATTTGCTTTTAACACGGACTAATTTGATTTCTATTGTGTTTGCAGTCATTGATGCTGGATTTAAGTTTCAATATGGATCCACTAACATACCTAATAATATTGATCAAAGAGAGTCAAATGTAAGAAGTCCTGCATTTAAGGTTACCAAGATTCTTTGCCAAACTACTGCTCCTGAAGAAAAGAGGAAAATCATTGGTGATGTGTTCGCAAAGGTATGTAAACAAGTCCCCCCAGTGTCTCTTTTCCATGCCCTGGTTAGAAAAGAAACAATTAATATTTAGCCCCTAGTTTCTGTTTGCCAGACTAACATTTGTTATCTTCACATTCACAGATTGCTCAAGAGGTGGTTGAAGAAATGAATCTGAGACCAGAGGATGTTTTTCTTGGGCAGGGCACTTTAAGACCTGACCTTATAGAATCAGCCTCTTCCCTTGTGAGTGGCAAGGCTGCGGTAATCAAAACTCACCACAATGACACTGAGCTTATTCGACAGCTAAGGGATCAGGGTCGTGTTGTAGAGCCGTTGAAGGACTTCCACAAAGATGAGGTAAATTCTCATTCTAATTTTCTAATTTTCAGCCGAGTTGACAGGTTTATTTTGATCTTATATTAATGTTTTGATGCAGGTGAGGCAGTTGGGCAGGGATTTGCAGCTTCCTGCCGATTTAGTAATGAGACATCCATTCCCTGGACCTGGTTTAGCTATCAGGATTCTTTGTGCAGAGGAACCATACATGGAACAGGACTTCTCTGAAACACAAGTTTTGGTTAAAATCATAGTTGGCTACAATAATATGGTGAAAAAAAGTCATGCCTTACTAAACAGAGTTGAAAGTGCAACATCTGTGGAAGAGCGCTCAGTTCTTCAGAGAGTGTCCGATAAGCAGCGTTTAGCAGCAACACTTTTGCCTATCCGAAGTGTTGGTGTACAGGTGAGCTCTTCAACTTTCTTTCACTGTTGCTTTTTTAAAACATTTTTTCTTAAATTGCTTTTGTTGTATGTGATAAATTTTATTCAAAAATGTCTGGTTTTCAGGGTGACTGTCGATCATACAGCTATGTTGTTGGCATTTCGTCTGATCAAAGTCCTGACTGGGAGGATATGCTTTTCTTAGCAAAGCTGATTCCCCGAGTGTGTCACAATATCAACAGAGTATGCTATGTGTTTGGGGGCATTGTAAAGGACCCAGTCTCTGACATAACCCCAACTTGCCTTACATCTAATGTTTTGAGTACACTTCGACAGGCTGACCATGCTGCGACCCAAGTATGTCTTTTATTTCTTTCCCTTTTAATTTCATGATTGAATTCTGTCTTGTTTTTTAATGTCACTGTGTCGTTTTCAGGTGTTGATTGCTTCAAATACAATGGGTGCCATCAGCCAAATGCCAGTGGTTTTAATACCGATCCACTTTGATAGGGACTCAGTGAACCGAAACCCTTCCTTCCAGCATTCTGTTGTCTTAAGGCCATTCTCCACTCAAGATTTCATGACTGGTGTTCCTGCAATCCCTGGAAAACATCTCCCACTAGAGGCAAGTACCCACCACTAATTTCTTAGATAGATGTCAGGATAATTTGTTTGTTACTTGAATGGTTGGCTCTCCTTCTTGCTTTTGCACTTTAAAATAAATTTTATGCTCTCTTTTGGCAGGTTGTAGAAAAGATGGTTCAGGAAATTCAAGGAGTCTCCGGCGTTTCAAGAGTTATGTATGACCTAACATCTAAGCCTCCAGGGACCACAGAGTGGGAATGAAAACATGTCGCAAGCCTCATCACTGCCATGTGGTTAGGCTTGCATTACTCAGCACCCCGCACTACCATGCCTGCAGAAAGGTGTGGATTGCTATGAAACAAATACAAGAAGCTCACATGTGTTTTGTATGAATTTTGGGATGTTGAAGTTGCTGTACTCAGTTTTACTCTACTGTGAGCTGCATTCAGAAAATATTGAACTTCTTTTTGTATGTGTTTTAAGGCAAGGTATTGTAAATCATGATAAAGAACTGCGGCAAAAGCAGTGATGGATTTATTTTATTAACAAAACTGTGATGCATCAAGCATCATTTGCGATACTGATTTGTGTATAATTCTTTGTAATATGCTACTCTTTCTGATTTTATGTACTGTGTACCATGTTTTTCCTCCAATGAAATTATTCCTGGTTAGTGAGAATTTATTATAATAACTTAAATAAATGGTGTATTTTTTTTGTTACCACATTCATTTTTTGCATACTAAAACTTCACCTCAGATCATTTGTAGAGATGACATGTAAGGGTTTTAATTCTAAGCAACAAAGTTCACATTATTACTGATCTGTAAAGTTACAGATAACAGGCAGTGTTTGAAATTACCCTAGAACATTGATATCCTAAATTTAAGAATTGTAACTGATCATGCTTAACAGAGTGGCAAAACTGCTACTTGTGCAGAGCTTATTCTCTGTTCTTCCAACCAGAGAGACATTAATGCTAGACATGAGATCTTGTTTAAATTTTAAGTCAGCACACAGACTTGAGCTCGGAGCACTTTGAGGTGACCGTGACGATGCTCTTGTCCTCTTCGGCCAGCCCGTCGTCTAGGCCGTTGCCCGAATGGCCCTCCCTGTCAGCCGGTTCGTTCCATGGCTGCACCTCGGAGCGGCCGAACAGGACGTAGGCGACGCCCGTGACGAGCAGCATGGCGGCCGTGATGCAGAACACGATCCGCCACTGCTCCACGCTTTGCTGCAGGCGGATCAGAATGAAACACGGAAAAGGGTTAAGACAAGACACTGTCTCCGGGCTGAGTGCCGTTAGGGTGGAGGCAGACTTACGTTCTGGTAGGTGAGGGCCCCGACCACGATGGGGGAGATGAAGCCCGGCAGCACGGTGACCACGCCGTTGATGCCCAGGACTATGCTGGCGAAGTTGGGGCTGATGTCCACCATGCTGGCGAGGGCGCCCGTCGACACCGCGCCGTTGGCCGCCGTGGCCGCGGTCAGGAACAGGATGGCCGCGTACTTGTCGCAGCCCGAGAACGCCAGGCCCAGCACGAACACGGCCTGGCCGATGTTACCTGCACCAGAATCGGCAGCGGTAAGAGCGCGGGAAGTCCCAGGCCGCTGTGGCGGGGAGCGGGGCACAGCGGGGATGCACTTACACATGGCGGTCGCCATTTTGCGGACGTTGGTCCGAGACATCCGGCCGCTCTTGAGCAAGTAGTCCCCGATGGTGGAGAAGACCACGGCGAACAGCATGCGGCACAGCTGCGGCAACCCGGACAGCAGCCCCGTCTGCGGCACAGAAGGTTAGAACGAGAGAAGCGTTAGGGCGTCGGGAGTGTCGGGAGGGCTGAGTTAACTGGAACGGCACCCACCATGCGGATGCCCCAGCCGTGCACGTAGCGGAAGTAGGAGGGCGCCTGCGTCATGAGGGTCAGCAGCCCCCACAGCCCGCCCCACTGCGCCACGATGTTCATCCACACGGGCAGCGACATCAAGATGGCGCGCCAGGGCGTCGGCAGCTGCAACACGTTCAACACGCCCTGGGGGTTCAGCACTGAGGCACTTCCAGGGAGTGGCTTTTTGCTTTCTGCCCACCGACCTGCTTCTTGGCGACGTTGCCGGCCAGGGCCTTCTGGATGTATAGGCGCTCGGTGGACGCTATCCTGGGGTGCTCGTCGGGTGAGTCGAAGACGAGCACGACCCAGGCGAGCCACCACAACACGCCCAGCGCGCCCGAGATGTAGAAGACGGCCTCCCAGCCCATGGCGTCGATGATAAGGCCGCACACTGGATACGTCACAGACGCCCCCACCGAACCACCTGTGAGAATCAAAAACCGCCAAAATGAGGGGGTTTGAACCGACGATCCGTGGCGTGCGAACAGCAGGCGTTACCTACCCAGGTAGGCGGTGACGAAGCGGCTCCTCTCGTTCGGGGGGATCCACTTGGCCGTCATGTCGTGCATCGCCGGCCACGTCAGCCCCTGGTGACAGGTACGCGATCAGGCCCGGGGAGGGGCGGTGGAGGGTAACTCAGGGACTCCCAGTTACTCCCAGTACTCCCAGTGCAGTGCGGCCCGCTTACCGAGATGCAGCCCTGCGCCAGCCGGATGGCGAGCAGCGCGCCATAGTGGAACCTGGACGCGGCGGGGATGGCGAAGGCCAGGAGGGCAGGCACCAGGTTGCCGAGGCCGAACACGATCTTGGTGCCGTAGCGCTGAGCCAGCACGCCGCCAGGGACCTGCGTGGACCAGTAGAGCCAGAAGAACGCCCCCAGCACCATGCCCTGCTCATGGGCGTTCCAGCGGAAGCGCTCTGACCCCTCTGGCCGCGCCGCCGTCTCCTGCGCACATAATTAACAACTGTTGAGTCCTCGAGTCGGCCAGACCACCCCGGCGAGTCGCCTTGTCGGCCGCCAACGGCCGCGCACAACAAGCACCAGGGGTGCACGACGGCGGCATTGCGGCAGCATCGCGGCGCGAGGCCCGCTTACCTCCTCCAGGTCGTCCGTGTCGTTGGAGGACAGCGCGGCGTGCTGCACGGCGTCCGCGACACTGTCGGGCACGATGCACTGCGTGCCCGTGACCGCGGGCTGCACCCGCGTGCCGTTGTCGTCCATCACCTCCATCGGCCTCGGCGGCTCCACCATGGCCACCAGCGCGATGTTCATGTTGATGCGGACCATGTAGTTGACGGCGAAGCCGATGAACACCATGATCCACAGCACCTGCCGCGACGTCAGCCATGCTGCAGCATAAAATACGACTCTATGAGCCCGGGAAGGCACCGCCTTGACCTCAACGACCATTAGCAGTTTCAGCAATTGTCTTTTTTTGTGCGCAGGTGAGACCTTGCGGGATTTGGCATCAAGTTTCTCCTCCCCAGCCACCACCTGCTTGGAAAAAATGCGATTATATTCGACTTGGCTGGAGTCCTTCTACAACTTTATAAGCGAAAGCCAATAACGCCTATCGGCTTACGAGATCGGACCCCAGGAAGAGGTGTGGGTCACGCGGATGAATGTTGTCCCTCGATTGACTTTTATTAAAACAAAATCAAAGCCAGCTTTGCGGCCTGGCCGTTTATTTGACCTGACGACACACCTATCTTATCGCCCTCCTTTAGTCCCCGAATCCTTGACAAACATCTCCCGCCATCCGATGCGTCAGCGCGTCAGTTCGTCTGGACAAACACCGGACCACTTTAGCTCGGCCTGCGCGGCCGGCGGGAGGTTGAAGGGCGGACACGATTATTTCTCGCGATAATATATCGATGCATCGGGGAAAGGACAAGACCCGGGAGGAAAAGGGGGGGGGGAGACGTCCTGCCGTTCCTCATTTACGTGCCCGGTCCCTGGAACGCTCTGGAAGCGGGGCGGAAACTGGATTTGGCGAGACAGTTCGGAATAACACATGGCACTTGGTCACACGAGCCACATTCACATTCCCTTCTCCGAGCCAAGTACTTCGCCAAGTGCCAAGCCAGCCAAGCACTCCATCACGAGCTGGGCGTGTGTGTGCAGGCCTGACGCTGCCGCCCTCCTTCGGCGTTCCCCGGCGGAGCACAAAAGTCTTAATAAAAGTAGGCGATCGCAAGAGCGCCAAGGTGGCGCCAGTGAGCAAAATCCATGACACTTTGTGCACTGCCATGATTCGGGGTCACGAGGACGCATAGGCGGGTTGCGTAAGCAGCGAGCGCGACGCACACATACACACACGCACACACCAGGACATACTCTCTCGCACACGGTCGAGCAAAGACCTTCCGCGCCATCGCCTTCCCTCCTGGCGGGCTCATTGACGCTGTCGCCACGCTGGCGCGCACCGCCACCGCCACACCGCCGCACCAACGCACTCACCTCGCTCCGGATCGCCGTGCAGGGCGTGCTGCAGCAGTTGGTGCGCCGCGCCCCTGAGAACGCGGCCGGCGCGGCTGGCGTGGCCCGCAGGCCGCCGAGGCCCTGGCCCTGACAGCGACGCCGGGTCCTGGCGGTCCTGACGGTCCTGGCCGGCGCGGGGGCTGGACGGCGGGGCCGGGGTTGCGATGGGGGCCATGGTGACGAGAACGACCCTCTCCTCGGAGCGGAGGCGACTGATTGCAGTGCGGGTGGCAGGGTGGAGCCCAGAGAGCCCCCACGACCCACCAATCGGAGGGCCCACGCCACGCCACGCCTCGCCACGGTCAGTGATATGCTGGAGGCGTTCGCCGCGCGTCCATCGAGTGCTGCAGGAACTACCCGGCCACTGCAGCTGCTGCAGCCTCGTCCATTCGGACTCGGGCAGCCAGGACGCCGCGCCTTCCGCGGTGGTCCACCGCGTAAATCAACGGCCGGAGTTCAAGAAACGACGAGTGTTTGGCCCGCGTCGTTTATGGCGAGGGAGGGGGGGGGGGGGCACTAGGCGTTGCCGGCGTTATGTAAGCGAGGATGCCACCGGCTAGAGTAGGCGCGGGCTCGAGACAACACGGAGGCGAATGCCAGGCCGCGGGTTCAGTGGCAAATGTAACGCAATTTGGACAGTCGATGCGGCGACGCTGGGAACACTGGCGCGGTTGGCGCGTCCTTGGACTTGACGAGGAAGACTGCAGCGACCGCCCGGCCGGCCGACGCCCCCGCAAAGCTGCTGGGCGAGGACTGGCGCCGCCCCGCCACCACCCCAGAGGGGGCTCCGAGCATGCTCCGAGGGGCAGGGCGGTAAGCCCGTCGCGGTCGCGGTGCAAAGGGGACAGACAGGTGGCGCCAGCACTGCATTCGGCAAGGCGAGGCACCCTGCCGCCCTGCCCTGCCCACGAACCCACGGGGAAGTCACTACTCCAAAGCCCTCGCCGCCAACGGCGCCAACCTGTCACCTCCACGGCGATCCGTGTGCTGGCCCGGCGCTACCGCTGCGCGCGGCCCTAGCGCCTGCCAAAGAGTGGGTATGCAACCCACCCTAGTCCGACGCGCGCGTGCCTGCCGAGTTGCCTATCCGCCATTACCATTACCATTAAGGGCTAGACAGCCAGGCGCCTCGATCTGCCGCCGCGTACCGCAGCGCCGTTGGAAACTGGCAAAAGGCAACCCAGCTTGGCGGCCAGGCGAGTGACGGGCGCGGCGGGCGCGGCGTCGTACAGGCTGCAGCCAGTGCAGGACTGATGGATGGTGGTGACTCGGCCGAGGCAGAGACGGCAGGGCATGGTGACAAGCTTGGTGGCAAGCCGAGTCGCGACGCGAATACCGACGTACCGACGCGTCGCGTTACCCAACAACGCTACAGGACAAAGTCATGCGTGCACAGGCGTTCGCGGTCGAGTACCTTTTCACACGCCAGCCAGCCACCTATCATAGGAGACCGTCTTGTGATGCTTGCGCCTTATCTCACCCCCTCCCTCCAATCGTGACTTCTGAATGGGCCCATAATACCCCAAGATCTGTTGTCAATCGTTTCCTGTCAATTTCCTTCGCTTGTTCATTTACATCGGAATTGCAGTTGCGCCTCGACTTTAAGTTACGTAAACGCCACGTTCCTTATGCATGGCATCGCACCCCACAAACTGATGGCGTGATCGCAAGCTGAAATCTAAGTGCCGAGGCGGTGGCACACGCGTGCCCCCCCCCCCCCACGCACCACACACACACACACACTCTCTCTCACTCTTACACTCTCAATGGCCGGGCTACTCGAGGCAGCCACCGGGAGTCCATCGCAACGACCACTTGCTGACCGCCGCCCCGGTACATGTTGGCAGGGCAGGCAATCCGTTGCATGCCAACTTATCAGGCAGCGTTAATTAATCTTGACGGCGCTCATGTGTTAGGCATACTTTCTGCCTACTTAGTTGGCGAGATTGGCACACTGTCGAGCGGTTCCACTGCCACCGCACTCTGTCTCTCTCGCACTCATGAAGTGTGCCGTAGGGGTGCGAGAGAGACGGAGCGAGGAGTGCGGGCGGTGGAATCGCTCATCAGCTGAGTTGGGATTCAAGCTTTGCCACAATGCCGCGACATCGCGACTCGTCCGGCGAGTCGATCGGTGACCTCTGTCGCAAAGCCCATCGGGTCTCCCATTCTGGAGACAGCATGGAGCCGCCTCGTCCGGTTTCCGCGACTCCGTGACCTTTCCACCGCGAGGGAAGCTGTTTTTGTTGTGTTTACCTACACTGGCGCCTGAACGCTAGAGAGACGGCGGGGAAGTCCCCGTCTCCTGTCACGAAGTGCACACCCCCACCCCCACCCCCACCCCCACCGGCGTGGGGTTGGACTGACCTGAAGCCATGGCAGTGAGTGGCGCCGAGGCGCGCGGCTAGCGGTGGTGGCTAGTGGCGGCGACACGCCACTGGCAGCCACAGGCAGCCACAGGGCCCTATGCACGCGGCCCGGCGCCGGCGCCCCTGGGTACGGCAGGGCGGTCCTTCTGGGCTCGCTCGGTCTGGACCGTCTGGACTTGGCACTGCGCTGCGACTGGCTGCAAGTGACGGATAGGGCGGCCTGGGCCAAGGCCTGGGTCCTGGAGAGCGCCCGACGGCCGTGTGAAGGTCCAGCACACCCCGCGGGACTGGAGAGGCATGCGTTCGACGGGCCCCGCGGCGGACTCGGGACTAGCAGGCAGCAGGCCCCGGCAGGCCCCAGCAGGGCGGCGCCGCACCGGCCGTCCTGGCGGGACGGACCAGCCGGACACGTCCGCGCCGTCTCCAACGCCGGGCTCTGCCTGGCTCTGCCGGGCCGGGGAGGGAACGCGGGCGACGCGGGCACGCCCCGCCCCGCAGCCTCTCCACTGGGGACTCCGCTGGAGAGCATACTGGAGAGTCCAGGCCACGCAAATCCCGGCAGTCATGGCCAAGGTGGCCGGCCAGGCGCGGGGCGCGCCGAGGCTGGCCTTACGTAACGCTTGGCCCCGGCCAAGCCGCGAAGATGTGCGCCCAACGCGGTCCACGCCTGTCGCGGCGGGGCGTTAGCGGCGGGCTCTCTAGGCCTCGCCTGCCATGCGGTATGGGCCACGCCGCCACGCCGCGCTGCCTGGCGGAGGGCAGGCTGGGCTGGGAGTTGGAAAGGAAAGGCTCGGGGTCTCTCTGGGGGAAGTCCGACAGGTGCGTGCCGGAGGGCGTGTAGTTGTGGGGTCTGTGGGGCGCAGGGCGCAGGGCGTGAGCTTAGCCCCAGTCTCGGCGCTGGCCGCGCTGCCGCGCTGGCGTGTCTCGCATCGAGGCGTAGCGGCGTAAGGTGATACGCTTGTCAAAGGTTTGGGGGCGTTTTAAACAGTGTGGGGCCAAAGGGGGCTTCAAGGCGGGGGCCAGGCCCGCGATTTGGGGCCAGGAGGCCGGGTCAGGTGATCGCCTCGGCTTCCGCCCTTCTAGCACGCCTTCGCCTCCTCAGCAGTCCCAGGGAGCCAAGGGTTTTCGAAGGGGAATAAGCACTTCCCAAAAAGACAATAAAAAAGTAACAATTTACTGGATTTGATTGCACACAGGTCAATTTCATGAGCAGTACACAGATGATTCGGGCAGTATCACTTTAAGATAAAAGCAGTTCCGTTTGGAAATTCAAACAAGGTCATTAAAAATATTTTCCATACTGACTAACAGGGACAAAAAGATACAATAAGTTTTCTATGTAATAGATTTAAAATGATACTTCTCATACCTGTATCATACATTTGTTTTTGAAAATACATAGTTTGAGTTTCTACAATGACTCAAGGAGGTGCAACATATAAAAACATTTAATTGATAGTCAAATCAGCACCACAAACAATATATTAAAAAAAAGAACAAGAATGTTTTTTTTTTTTTTTTTTTTTGTAATTGTTAATTGCACGTGAAACATCAAAAATAGATAATGTTCCACAATTGTCAAACCTGCCATCTATGGGTTTCCAAATCATGGTCGTTGGAAACTGTTGAAATCAAAACATCAAGTATGTTAAGAAACCAGATTTTTTAAAAATGTTTCATAAACTTGTGGCTTTTGCTTCTTGACTATCGCCCGCGGCCTCTGCCCCTTGAGAAACCGCCTCTTGATGGCCCCCCTCTTCCCCTTCCTCCAGGCCCACCTTTGCCCTTGGGTGGCGGAGACTTCGGACGAAGTGCTTCGATACGCTCAGTGCATCCTGATGTCAATTGCCCAGAGCTAAAGTAGCTGTTATACAGATCTGCATTGTAATTGCTATTTGTGAGCTCTGGACCAATGGTTAACCATCCAGGACGGATGGTACTGTCACGTCCAAAGACATGAAGTCTGTGATTAATAAAAAATAAATAAATTAAGATCTTTTTCTTTTAAATGGTAAGAGAAAGTGCTATACACTTTTGAAAAATGTTACCTTCGACGACCAAGACAAAAATGTTCAATAATGTGAAAAATCTCCACAGGCTTTTCGAGAGAACCATATTCTGTCTCTTCAGAAATAATGAGATCGATGTCAACATTGGCATGGATGAAATCACCATCTGTAGAGCGTCGCACTGTGCCCTTGATGCCCATCAGGCAATGTTCCTGTAAAGACACATTGTCATCAAACATAATTTCACTGAAAATTCCAGGTATATGAAATACAAAACAAAGTTTCTTCATTTCATCTTACTTTGGTACGTTGAAATACAGCCTTTGGATCTAGGTTTTTAGAGTGGTTTGGGTTGTTAATGTTGGTGCGAATCCAACAAATATCTTCACATCGACGGAATCCCCACTTCCGTAGGCAAAACCTTCCCATATCCAACCCCTCAGAGGAACCACACCACAGGAAAAGGAAGCTACGTGGTGCAGCTAGTTCTCCAATGTCCAGCTGCATGATCTGATGAACCCAACAATAATAGACAATCAAGAAGCAGCATTTTAGGTAAGTAGTCCCATTTTAAAGTCTGGCTTAACTCACCCTTTCCCATGACCAGAATTCCATATTTGTTACACCCATGGTGCGCTGGTATTCTTCAAGAGGAGGTTCTACAAGAATCACATCAAATTTGTGGTCCAGCTGTTTTAAATCCATGGTCCGCAAGTCACACTTTAAATACATAGGGGGAGTTGCAGTTTGTTGAATTAAGTCATCCTGAAATTGTGAGACAAAAATTTACCTGGTACTTTCCACAAGCCTGGAAAACAGTTTATGTATATAACTGAATACATATTGTAATTTTACCTTGAGTTTTATAAGTTCTCGCAACTTAGGATACTCTTCAAAACGGTCTGCCAAACCAACGTCACGAATGAAATTTTGAGGACGTTGCCCCGTATCAACAAAGTGCTGACAATAATCATTATGTGGATTTGATGATTGAGTTCCCTGTAAAAGATTAACACGGTCAAGAATGCTGAATTTAGTCAATAAAACCAATGGTTTATAGGCATTTAGATGATTATTTACCTTCAGAAATGTTGACGAATCTGTATAGATGAGTTCATCTGCTACTTCTTCTTGACTTGTTGATTTCTCTGGCTTAACCTCAGCCGTGGAACTACCGGCAGCACTTTGGCGACGTTCTTGAGTCTCTTCTCTTGTCCCAAGAGCTTGGGCCAATTCATCTACATTCGAAACACCTAACTGCAAAATGAAAGAGAGGTTTAAATTATGTTGCAAAGGAAAAATAAATAAATATAAAACAATAGTGACAGTCATCGTCCTAAAAAAAAATTGTGACTTGTGATTTTATAAGTGGAATATTAAGCTAGCATATGTGACATAAAAATAAATACAGGATTGAAAGTACACCATTCATTCATGACTGGTAGAGGTAAACATGACAAACTCACTGTTTGTGCGAGGAGCTTCTTCCTCTTTTGAGACCTTTCCCGTAACTCTTTTAGCATATCCCCCATGGCTCAGACGGATTGTAGCACTAATACAAAAGTACTTCTTTAAATTTCGTGATTGTCCGGCTTGTGAATGGGTGCATCAGTGAGGTAAATACCAAAGACTTTGAAGAAACCACAAGATAACAGCGACCAAGCTAGTGCTTTCAATAAAAGAAAAGTAAAGGCCCCAAAGTCAAGGAATCACAAATTTAATCAATGTGTCTTAAAAGCCCCCCCGAACCCAAACAAAACATAACCTACGTATATAATGCCACAAACTTTAACGGGCACCCCCTCCTGCCCCCGCCCCTCTCTGAATCCTAACTCCCTCCCTCACCCTCCCCCCCCCCGCCTTCTCGCCATTTCTCAGGTGCTCAAACTCTACAGTGCGGAGACTAATAATAAAATGTCATAAACCTGACTTATTGTGAAGGAAATATCCATCAAATTTAAAACAAATCGTGGAAATTAGTAAATCATCCTCTGCAACAGATTCTTCAAAATGTCTTCCCTGAAATCGTTTTAATTTATTTTTATTTTGACAGTGGTGCACGTGTAGCGCCAATTTTGAACAGCGACGGAAAACGGAGCCCTTTTTTCGACGCGATTGCTCTTACTCTAATTTGCGCTTTAGTGTTTCCTGTAGCTTCACATCAAAGAAATTCGTCTCTGCGTTTCGTAGTTTAATCTTTGATGATGAAATTTAAAAAAAGGGTTGCGTATAGGCATCCAACCGGTCCCTTTGTTCACGTTGCCAAGCAACAGCACATTGCTACAAGTGTCCTTCCCTGCACAGAGCCGGACTGATTTGAAGTACATTTCGTATCGTTTGAATCGCACAGTTTATATGGCAACGGTTAAGGCTTCAAATGTTCGCAGTAAAATGATCCGTACGAATCCCCATGCAAGTTCGGCTGCGATGACCATCGCAGCCAGACCACCAGACATAGGAAAGGTGAAAGTAAAGGATCGAAGATAAAATTCATCTTGCTTCTAATTAGGGCTCTGACGCATCTCAATGATGATTAATAGAGTCAATACAGTGCACTTCCCTCCCACTCTTATCATTTTGAGTCATAAGTTTAGAGTCCTAAAGGCCCTAAAGGGGAGATCCGCGAACTTGAAAAATGTTCTGATTTTGCTTCTCATACTCGAAGAAAGTGCTATGCGTAATTCCTCATAGTTGTTGTGATGTTGTGTCGTCTGCTGGGCCTCGTGAACTAGAGCCCTGGTAGCACTTCGAAAAAGTCCTATAAACCTCCTCAGCTCTCTAAATAGTTGATTGAAGACCCCTTCAATATCGCATGTTGACAGTTTAGACGTTTCGAGGCTCATCACGGAATTTTAGAACCCACGCCGGAAGCGGAAACGCACGGCGGACATTTGTTCGTCACCGACGCTTTGTTTATGTTGTGTCGTCTGCTTGAGGCATCTTGAGGTCAAGGGACTTGACGGCGCTTGGAACAGGCCTAAAAAGCTCCTCATTTCTCTAAAATAGTCAACTGAACAGTTATTGAACGTCAGATGCAAACTGTTTAGACGTTTTCAGGCTCTGCCAGACGAATCTTAAAAACGCAAGCCGGAAGCGGAAGCGCATGGCGGACATTTTGGTCGTCAGTATGAGCACCAAAATCGGTCAGAAGTCAAGACGCGGTTCGCGGATCTCCCCTTTAGGGCCTTTAGGACTCTAATAAGTTACAACGTTCGTCGCGATTTCTCATGTTAATAACGGCGACCGGATGCTCCTCAACATGATCAACTAAACATCTAAATTCTAGTTTCAATTTTGTCACTAAAATTAAAAAGATAACAAGATAGCTTTAAAAAATCAAAATTACTATGAGCTGTAAATTGTGCTGTTTCTTTTCTGTCTTTCTCTTGGCTTAACGTCTCCTAAGTGTTTGAACCGGCGGTACTGAAGTGACGTCACGGCAAGAGCGAAACGAGATAGACGACGGCCATTTTGTAGTCTTCTTCGCCGTTCCTAGCCCTAGGGTGGGCAGGCCAGTATTTATATTTGTTTTACCGCAGTTCGGACAGAATCAACTCTGCAACCTTGCAGATAGTATCGCAGCGTACACGTTAATTGTGTGTGTGGATAAATCGTGACGATCTGTTCGTACAGACAGCCGCCATGGAGGAGAAAGCCTCATTGAAGGAACTGGATCATTGGATCGAGCAGCTCAACGAATGCAAACAACTTACAGAGAGTCAAGTTAAAACATTATGCGATATGGTAAGCTACTAGTGATAATGGTGTGAGTCAATATCTCCCGGAACCGAATGGGCGGCCGCGTGGTTCTCGCTTCGATGGTTTCATCTTGTGCCGACGAGTGCCGCGCGAAGCCTACAGGCCGAGGCCTTGGATCGAAAAGCAGAGTTCCAATCGCGTGTTGGGTGGAGTGTTCTAGTGGTGGGCGATTCGTACTCTAATAATTTGTTAAGAAACAGCAGCCGAAAGACAGGCTCCACCTAGGTTAGTGCACCAACGGATGTTGTGCTTGGTTTCGGTTCCAAGTGTCATAGACTCCTGTTGACAGGTTAACTGACCCTTTGACCAAATGGAGCTAACTGTGATAAGACTAATCTCCTTGTCGCATTAAGAAATAAATTGTAGTCGTTTTGTGCTGTTTGTTCTGTTTATTTTGATATTCACTGATTCAGCTTTATTAACAGTCCTCTTATTGTAATAGTAAATTCTGCTTTTTTTTTTTTTTTAATATATTCATATTGTTTGGGTATATCTTAGTTCTTTACCATGACCCGTTATAGATTTCCATTAGCATTAATCTTTTTACAAATATTTGATTATTTCCTCAAATATTTACATTATTCATCGTTTAAGTTTTTATTAATAATATTTCATGCTTTGTTGTTGTTTTTTATAGCCAAAGTTATCATGTTTTTAATCAAGTACTGTTTCTGGTTTATTTCAGGCAAAAGAAATTTTAACGAAGGAGTCGAATGTCCAAGAGGTGAAGTGCCCTGTGACAGTTTGTGGTGATGTCCATGGACAGTTCCACGACTTGATGGAATTATTCCGGATAGGTGGCAAGTCTCCAGATACAAACTATTTGTTTATGGGTGACTATGTTGATCGTGGGTACTATTCTGTGGAGACAGTCACACTGCTAGTTGCTTTAAAGGTATGCACAGTGATTTCTGGTTTCATTTATTATAGCATAGTCTTTTGTTTGTGTGTGTCACTTGAGCCATTTTGCTTCTTACCTAGGTGCGCTACAGGGAGAGAATAACAATTTTGAGAGGTAATCACGAATCACGTCAGATTACTCAAGTCTATGGTTTCTATGATGAGTGTTTGCGCAAGTATGGAAATGCCAATGTCTGGAAATTCTTCACTGATTTATTTGACTACTTACCATTGACTGCCCTCGTTGACGGTCAAATATTCTGCCTTCACGGTGGATTATCACCGTCCATTGACACATTGGATCACATTCGTGCTCTGGACCGCTTACAAGAGGTCCCTCACGAGGTAAATAACCTCTTTAATTATTTTTTAAAAATATATATTAACGTGATCATGGTCATTCAATTTTCTTTTTCCATCTATGAATTAATTTGTGAATTATTTTTAGGGACCTATGTGTGATCTGCTCTGGTCTGACCCTGATGATCGAGGAGGCTGGGGTATTTCACCTAGAGGTGCTGGTTACACTTTTGGCCAAGATATATCGGAAACTTTCAATCACACAAACGGACTTACACTAGTCTCTCGGGCACATCAACTTGTCATGGAAGGATATAACTGGTATGTACAGTGCCTTTGGTTTACTTTTCCAAGTGGTCCAGTTTTCCAAGTATTTGTGTCACTATTTGCTTATCTTTTTCTCAGGTGTCATGACCGCAATGTGGTCACTATCTTCTCAGCTCCAAACTATTGCTACCGTTGTGGAAATCAAGCTGCTATTATGGAATTGGATGACGCATTGAAATACTCATTGTAAGTAAAACTTTTGTTCTGTCCCTCGTTCAAAGCATGGATTTTTACTAACCACTTGTGCTCTGTTTTGTTTAGCCTCCAATTCGATCCTGCTCCAAGGCGTGGTGAACCTCATGTCACAAGGAGGACTCCTGACTACTTCTTGTAGGGCTGCAGCACTTCTAAATCTCCTTTTACAAGAGAGCCTCTTGATAGTGGTATATATCCATTCATATTAAAGAAATGAGTGCAGCAGTTCTCTATGTACAGCTGTTAATTAAGTGTGAAGCCAGGCTGTTCAGTGACACAGAACATAATCTTGTGATTGGGATTAAAATCGTGGATCTAGTCCCCATTACATTTTTCTGCATCATAAATTCTTAAACATTGCCATGCCATCTGCAATATCAAGAAAACGGATTAATCTTAATGATTTGTATTGATTGTAATGTATGGACAGCCAGTATTTTTTTTCCCTATTGTGTTTTATATGAGGTTGTTAAGTATTTAATACAAACCTTTAAAACGTGTTTTCTGCCATTGAATGGAACATTTAGGTGACTTTTATAGGTCTGAGTATGTCAAATGTGAGGACTTTTTTTTTCTTTGCCCCAGCATTTCAAAACCTCAGCTTTTTTAAACCAACTTTGTAATACTTCTTCCTGGATTTTATTTCTCTGATAGCTGTGTTCTTATGAAATGTAGGTCATTCCTGTTCTTGATGTTTATTTGTAGAAAGCCATGTTCTGAACCTTAGTCATGTGTTCTTGTACAAAGGCATAAGATTTGGAACATGGCCTAACTTGTACTATTTAAATGAAGTTACTTTCTGTCTGTTATACAAAGATCCTTATTGGTCTCTCATATCTTCAATATTGACTGGAGTTAATACTATTGCAGTTGATTACATTTTTAAAAGTGTTTTTTTTCTTTGTTTTTTTTTTCCTACCAATCTTTGGTATATGACTGTTAACCTGGTGTTGATAGTAAACAAATCATGGTCCTGGTCTCTCAAAATTGTGAAAGGAGAGTGGGCCAGTTAAGAGTGACTTTGGTGATATCATCTATATGTCATTGCTGTGCCTGGTGGGCAAAGCAACCGACTGCTGCTGCCAAACAATGGTGTGCAATGTTGACTTGCTTCATTGTTAGAGGTAGCATGCACAAGTAACACATGCCTGAACTTCTGAATGCAGATGTGAATGAAGAAAAACGTGTGAATGTGTTTCTGAATGTATTGTGTATGTGTATGAGTTGTGAGTGCTTGTGTTAGTGCACACCAAAAGCACATCTTGCAGAGGTGTTGCTCTTCAGTTCAATAGGCATCCTTTTTTGGAAGTGCTGGGTCAGGTACCATTTGTGGAAAGTTTGTCTGGAAGGAATGATGAAGGGATTTCAAAACCATAAACTACCCTACAGTTAAGGTCAGCACATTTTTTTTTCAGTGTAATAATATATTCTTGAAAACAAATGCCATTTTCGATTGGTTTGTTATAGCAGTTCTTTGTACTCGTGTCTCTTGGTGTTTGCAATTTTGTTCGAGGCGTTAAGCATCGAAAGGGGACCATCTACTAGACTTGGCTTGTATTCTTATCAAGTATGATAACTTTAGTAACCTCAATACTGTACTTCCAAAAGAGCATTCTAAAATTAATAGCGCAACATATCCAGGAGAAATTAAAGTGCAGGCTACATGCTTTTACATTTTGGCAATTCAAACAAACTGATGGGGTAGATATTTAAGTACATGTCTAAGTTTGTTAGGTCAGATTACATTGGACAAGTTGTAATTTCCTTCATGTGATCTTAAGGGGGGTAAAAAGCATCCCTGCATTAGAAATGCTGTTGTTAAATCATGGTGAAGAACAAAATAAATAGACTGGCGTGTGTGCATTAATTTTCTGCTGTGTACTGGTTTGTTAATTTAATATATGCTCCAGTGCATTTCACTTTTTCCTGAAACATCAGCAAAAGTTGTCAGTGGAGCAAGATTTGTGGCTTTTCCTGTTAAAATTCCTAGCATCATGAATTGTCTGTAGGTTAGTGCAGATTGGTAAATTATATTTTGGCGGCAGTGTGCAGCTTTTATTCTAAAACGTCCTGGCGTATGGTGTTCTTGAACATACATTTTTTTTAAAAGCATATGTAACTGAATTAAGAACAATGTCAAACTGTCTCAGAAAACCGACTATTTTATTTTGGCATGTGCATTTCTTGTTTAATATTGTTTGGAGGAGCTTGTTTGTTAATTATTGTGAGACAATTGGAAAATGTGTACTGCAGATGATGTGCTAACAAATAAATATTACTTCTCATTCTATTTAAATTTTTTTATTTTTTTATTTATTGTATCCCGTTAAGTTTTCTTCAGCCATTATTTACAGTACATAAAAAATCAATCTTATTATTTAGGTGCTCTTTTAAACTGAGCTATCCTTAACATCAATACTTTTGACAAGTCCTTTCCCTAATATGTAAAAGTCTTCCACAAGAGCTTCCTTGTTCAGAGTAAGTTGAGTAGGATTGACCTCAAGTTTCCGTCCATTCATGTGGCTTATCTGTTACAATGCAAAAGGGAAGGAGTCAAATTAAAAGCCATCAGTTGTTAAACCTACACTTGTGCTGGATGGTACTTGCCTTGAAGTCTTTGGGCTCCATTGCAGGTGGTTTCCACACAACCCCAATAACATTGCCACCATAAAGATCATGGAAAAACATGGCAAAGTCACTATATGCCTCCTTAACAACAACAAAAAAAAGTAGTTTAGTGGGTAAACGATATCAGCTAAATACAGGGCCAAATAGAGTGTCTCAGAATCTAAGGTACTTAAAAATTTAAGGGATGACAAGAACTTTCCCATCAGAGGATCAGATGCCCCTCCCCCCCTCCCTTCTGGGACACCCTGTATATAAACGTAACTAGACATTACCTCCAGATCCTGTAGGTAACATTGAACAGCATCATATCCAACAACTGGTATTTTCTCATTGTCACCTTTCTTATAAGGATTCAGAGCAAAAATTTTTTCAGATACCTTCGCATCAATCCATTGGGAGTTGCGAGAAATCATACTGGGATTCAAATGAATGATTATATTGTAACAGTCCAATGATGGTCTAAATATTTGCTGTAATAGGCACCAGAAAAATGACAAAAACGAACTTGATTTCTGATTTGAAACAGTAATGGATTACCAAGCCATAGCACTGACCTTCCACATGTTGGTTTCTAAATGGCTTTCAGTCAAGTAACATGATTGCAATACTTTCAAGGACTCTGCCGCCAGGAGAGCAACTCGAGCCAAAATTGTAAGGCTGGGAGCTTCTTTGGTCCATGATGAATTAAGATGTTCAGAGGGGGTTGCTATGAAAAGAGCTGGCAGTTGAGCACGCTCTGAAGTGAATCTATGCTCGATTTCTTGTACAATTTCTCCTAAAGCAGGATTTTTTTTCATGAAAAAAAAAAATTGACAGCATTATTATACAAAAATTAAAAATTGACTTGGTTTTTAACTTTTTATTATAAAATGTGCCCCAGACTTACTGTTCATATCATTGTTGAAGTTCAAAATTATTGGTTCTAAATGCCAATTAGTTGATGACAATAAATGAAGGAATCTCAAAAATGCAATCTGAGGCTGTGCTGGGGGTGAAAACGGTTCTGGACAGAGAAACAAATGGGCCACCAAAAGTTCAATAGCATCTTCTGGAAAGTGGCTCCATCGTATCATGTGAGATGAAATCCATCTCTTAGCAAGGCATGCAGCTGGGCCAAATGCAGGTTGCTGTTGATGCAAGCTACAACAAAAGCAATTAATCTAGTTTCACATTAGACTTCTAATAAGTTTAGATGCTTTATTAGTGTACAGACAACTCATAACCCTTACCCGTGTAAAAAACTTGTTATTTTAGGTAAGTAGTTGATCTCTCTTTCTAAAATTTGTGCCTCCTTGTTATCTACTATTTTGACCATACCATCGGGCATGACAAACTGCCGTAATAGGGCAGGCTCTCGCTGATAGGCCACTCTCAGTCTGAAAACAAATCCATCCTTGACCACATCCACATAATTTGGGAAAGCTTGTGTAGTAAGGCCACATTGAGTCCTTAAGCTCTCGGCTATCTGGATAGCAAATGCTGTGCGAACTCGACGCACAGCCTGTGCATCATCAGGCCATTTCCCACTCAAAGCTAGCTGCAGAACCACTGTAGAAATTTAAAAGATAACTATAAAGATCACAGTTTTCAAAAAGAAGATTTGGAAGATAGATAAACAGAAATACAAACAAAAGTAGTATACCTTCAACTGGAGAAACATAATCAGGTGCATGAGAATAATGAGCTTTTGCAGCCAAAACATTGCAATTTTCTTTGGCCTTTGTTATAAATCTTCCAGGCCTACAATGGCTATCAGTGGAGAGTGGTGGGAATACATCTGTATAACGGCATACTGGAGATGATCCCTGAACTCCGCTAATATCCAAGGGTAGGTCAGACAAGCCCCGAAGCTGAGCAGCTAGTTTGTCCAAAGCTGAAAGTACCGCCAGTGTTGCCTCCTCACCAGTGCCATATGAAAATGTGGCAGGCTTGCACTGCAAAAGAGATGAAAATACAAATTTGTACTCTTAGCAAGCAACTGACAGAAAAACAAATAGACAGGGTATTTCAAAGACTCAAAAACTGGACTAATAAATATAACTGATATATAAAGACACATACCTTGGTCAAGGCTAAAGTTTCTTCCAATTGGTCTGCTAAATAAACAAGGCACTTAGATGTATCCAAACCTAATTTTGTTTTAAGAAGATATTCAGTGATTTGGCGATTGATCACTCTTCTTTGAGATAGAGTTATATCTTTTTCTGAAAGCCAAACAACAGCTTCCGAAATACTTCCATCCTGGAATCTCCGCAACTCTGACTTATCACCCCAAAACTTCCGGAATTCTTCAGCCTACAGTTCATCAAAGTTGTTAGTAAGACACGATAAATTTGAAAAGAACAAATCTTTTTAATTAGAAAACAAGTTTTCTCTACCTGAGGCATATCTGCAGGTGGACCTTTGTCCAAAACACTATAGGCATGCTCTGAATCCAGATTAATCCCAATTAACAGAGGACCCTGGGAGGGTGTTGGTTGATCTGCAATTTGCCATGATACTTTTTGGGGGATATGGATTCCCCATTCAGATACTCTTTTCCCCAAGCCCTTTTGCAGAACTTTCAATAAAAGATAAGCAGCTAATCCAATTGAATGATGTCCTTTGTCAAGCTTTTCTTTTTTTGATGCAAACTTCTTGTTCATTTCTTCAAGAGAAGAAATGTTTGTAAAGCTGTTGGAAAATATTTATTATTGTTACATATTTGTTCTAAAAGCAAGAGACAAAATCATGACAGGAACACAAAAACTAATGACAAACCATAAAATGTGATCAAAACGTCTGTAGAAAGGTGCAGTTTTCATAAAAAGAGCTTGAAAACTGTTAACTGATGGATTGTCAAGGTACTGTACAGCCATTGCACTCTCTAATTTGATCTAGAAAATATCGATTTGTGAATCAACGAAAAGCAAGAAACAGAAATAAAGACATAAATGCTCAGAAAAAGGTAATTTTGTAGGGGAAAAACAAAAACAAAAACAGTACTACATACTCTTTTAAAAGATATTGCATCAAGATGAGCGGCAAGATTGCAATAACCAGTATAATCAACAAAGACAACTTCATAATGCTCATGGAACTCTGAAAGAGATGGTGCACCTCCAGTAGTTTTGTCACATAGAGTCAAGCCACCTCCATCAGAAGTCCAATCACTCTCCTCTGTAAATTTGGGAAAGAAAGAAACATTATCAGATCGTCCCAAGTTATGATGCACCACTAGATTGAATACCAGCTTTATATACTCACTTAAAAAATTCCATACAGTACGAGCAACTTGATAGCTGCTCATGTGAGAGGAGAGCCTCCGACTGCGCAGCAAGTAAACCACCAGCATGGTCATCAGGTAACTACCAAATGCCGAATATCCCTAATGAAAAAGAAAAATAAATTTTGGAGTTGGTCTATCTTTAGATGCATTACATCAATCCTAAAAGTAGACCACTGCACCCACTTGATCAAGCTCCCTTTGCCTGAGCCAAACTTTGAGAAGTATTATCCCATCTTTGATGTTTTTGAAATCTTCCAGTGTTTCAAGCTTTAAAGTCTCATTTTGTTTTGCAACAAGATCAGCTAGAATACTTGCGTTGTGAATAGGTGTGGCATAGTCTTTTCCTGAAAATGGACAAGAGTAAAAAAGTCACATGACATCATACCATGGGAACATCAATGACAATAAATGTAGTAACTACCTTCGCTCACAGTCTTCTCATTAAAAAGCCACTTTGACCGCACAGAATTTTTGGATGGATTTAGTTTGGAAAGTTTGAATGTCTCCTCTGGGACTGTTATGTGCAAATGTACCTGTGCTCGCCCTTGCAATGCGCCAGTTGGCACAACAACAACAACAGGTATAAGAGGATTAGATGCTCGTGGCAATTCAAAACGAGGAACAAAGTCCTCTTTGCTGGATATTATGCCACTTGCTTTAAGGTGAGCAATCACTTGGCAAAGGTAAAGAGCGCGTTTGCGGTGATACCTATGATTTATGTGATCACTGCCTTGAAAACATTTCTGAAAAATAAAGAGGAGCAATAAATAATGATAATTGGTGTCTTAAATAGACATGTTATCACTACATTGGTACATACTGAAGGCATTTCAATAGCAATATCCACATTTAAGTGAGGGCCAAGGCTACAACCAATGGCATGGGAGCCAACAATGGATATGGATGATGGAGGGATGAAATTGAAGGATCCTTTCAAAGAGAATGGTTCTTGAACTACAGGAATTGATACACCCAAATTTTCAAGCCAGTCTTGATCCATTAGCTGAAAAAAAAATGCTCATAAGAAAATTGATTTTGAAACATGGTGGAGATAAAAATTGTTTTTTGCAATTCAGTACAAGCATAATTAGCCAGAAGTTAAATTACCTCTAACACCTCTCCTGATTTAATTTTTGAAAGACACTGTTTTAAGGAAGAAAACCATTCAATGAAGGATGAAATTCGCTTTTTCTTGATACTTATTTCACCAATCATCTCTTCAATTTGAAGACGAAACAGACTTGAGTGAAAGAGATTTTCAGTCTCACGTAAACGAGCTACTTCTTGAGCTGTAGGGGGTTTCTGCAAATCAGCTGTTTTACTCTTTTTTCTCTTTTTTAACGAAGTTGCATCAGATCCATCCACATTCTGAAAAAAATGTATGCCAAAAAGTATAGATGAGATTAGAGAATACCATTACAAAACCTAACAAAATATAAATAGATTCACTCACCTCGGAATTTTTTCGCTTGCGGGTATCTTTATTTTCAAAATTATTTTCTAAAGTCTCCAACACATCATCACCGTCTTCCTCTGAAGAGCCGTCATGTTCATCGTCATCGTCATCAATATAGTCATCATCAACATCGTTTTCCACAGGGGTTCCTCCCAAGTTGAAAGCAAACTGAAGATCTTCACTCTCGTCAGCACCTAAGGACTCATCGCTTTCGTATTGAACATTTTTCTTTACAGGCTTCTGTTTCTGCAAAGAGCAAAAGCGGAATGACCATGAATCATTGTGTAGAAATTCAAATGATCTATCTTCCTAAACAATACACTGTACGACTTTCTAACCAAAAATTTTGGTTCAACAGCAAATAAAATTAATTCAAAGTTTACAAAAACACAACGTAAATGGGAAACTGAAACTGACATCCACGTGAGTATCAGTGCTTCTTTGACCGAAAACAATTGCAGCTAATGTCACGTCTGACAATTAAAAAACAAGCCTTACCGTTTTCTTCGAGTCTCTACCCTTCTTGAATTTAGCGGCCATCCTCAAACTTTAAGATTAAAGCTCTAAAGATCACAAGAAATTAAAATGAAATTTTGACTTGTTTACATCGACATAACCTAGTCACATGTGGCCGGCCAAAAGCGTCTGCCAGCCAATGAGATGAAAAATTCACTACCCGCCAGTTTCTCATACAGCGGAACCGGAACCTGTAAGGCGGCGAATCCATCAAATTCGATAGTACCCGGTGAAGGTTCATTCATTAAAAACCGGTTCTTTCAAAATTTTTCTCTGATTTTATTTACACACATCCTATGACGACCTACATCAAGAGGGGCTGAGCTTTCCCACACACCATACCTATTCCAAACTAATCGATGTCCATCTTCACTCCGTCTTTTTCACGTTTGACGCTTCATAATAGCTTCCACTTCCCATACTGGATGGCGGCTCTTGAGTTTGGGTTAGCATAGAATCTTGCCTCCGCCAATCATTCAAGAGAGCAGTATTTATTTCTTGCTACTCTTTGAACTCCTAAAAATATTCGGGGAGTTATTTTGGAGTCAAGTGTACGGCATTGGCATGGTCGGGTGGGACCCGGACCGGACACATACATTGCGTACGGAGTTTACATTATTCCGGGCGTTGTTGTCCCAATATTTTTTTTCTTTTTTCTAGCCAAGAGCCTTTTTTTCATATGATGCAGCGTAATAACACTTGACGGAAATAAAGGATTCCCACTGTCTTTTTGCACAAAATTTAGAAGAAAGAGGAGAAAACTATAGAGTATGTATTCTACTGAGTACGAGGATGCCCGTTAACGAGAAGCATTTTGCAAGTTCTGGATAGCGCTTTCTGCGGGGGGTAGGAAATGGAGGAAATACGGCGCTGAAGCTGGCTGAAGGCTGGGCCAGGCTGGGCTGCCCTTGCCCGGCGGCCTTCATAGGTTGGTGAATGTTGCGTAATCATCCTGTGTTGTTATTCCTCATTCGTACAGTAGTCCAACGGCCGCGTGCCGCCCCGTGCCCCCGCCGAGTTCTGATCCAAGACTCCGCGACCGCCACGACGCAGTGCTGGCCGAAAAGCAGCAGTCGATATGTGTGCACTCATATTGGAAAGGGTAGTCCTTTGGCAAGAAATGAAAACAAAGAAAATAAAAAACAGTCATAGATACGTTTTAATTCAAAACAAGTAAAACACACATCCCACCCGAGGGGTACACAGTAATAGCAACCAGACTACACACCCCACTTCATGCAAGTGCAAGATTCCCTTCCTCTCCTTCGATCTCCTCCCGTTTCCTCCACGAACCACGGTTATTTCATTTTCAATGCGCGTAGTTAGACCGTGTCTGGTGGACACACACAAACACATCCACGACACACGAGTTCTGGAAATAAAAGGAACCCTTGTCAAGGGCATGCGGAGTAATCGTTTAGGGCTCTGCTCCGCTGCTGAGGGCCAAGCCAGCTAGGGCCAGCCCCAAGAAGGGCCAGCGGGGCCCTAACTAGAGCCATGACGAGGGGCTGTCCCCGAGTCCATCACGAAGAGGCCATTGACGAGGCTCCGTTGGGGGCCGGCCGGGCCGGGCGGTGGTCTGCCTGGCCGGACTCGGACCATGAGCCGGAGCCCTCTTGCCCATGTCCCATTCGGACGGACCGAGGGTCGAAGGGCCGTGCGCAGCCGCAGGCCTCCGGGACTCCGGGCAAAGGACTCACAATCGGCCAATCAGGGCGACGCGAGCCATGCGCGAACTTGTCTGCAGACCATTCCGGACCAATGGCGAGCGACGATGCCGTGGATGCCGTGTGTCTTCATCAAGCGGACGAGGGTCAAGAGCGGATTTCTGCGAAGCAGTCCTTGGAGCGGTGCGGGTTGCGGTGGCGGAGCAGCTTGATGCCGTCCTTCGGGATGAGCCTGGGCAAGAAAATCACGCACAGCCAGTTTGTGAGCGGTTCCAATTCAAAAAATTGGTTTGGCACTCACTAGTAGCGCTACAAGAAACAAAAACCAGCCGCGCTGCTATTTCGAATAACCCGGAAAAACTACGAGACGTCACACCACGCGTCCGGCAGTCCGAAGGCAGCAAGGGAAGTACCGCGCCTCGGCCGCCCTGCTCACCTCGCTCTGGTCTTGAGGATGTAGTAGGCGGCCGACGAGACGGGTCTGAAGAACCAGTTCTCGCGGTCGTGCCTCATGGCCTCCATGATGCCGCGGTACCCCTTGACGGACTCCCTCTGCAGCGGGCTGAGCAGCGCCGTGACGGAGGGCACGGGGGCGTCCAGGGTGTCGCGCAGCATGATCTCCAGCTGGCTGTTGAAGTCGGCGCCCGGGATGAAGTAGGCCAAGCCGTCCGCCATGCAGCGCGCCATGTATTCCCAGGGCGGCCGCGCCTGCCGCATCTGCGGCAGCACGATGGTGGCCATCGCCTGGCGCGCGCGCAGCAGCGTGGCGTTCAGCCCACCCTGGCACATGTTGAACCTGGTTCAAGACAATCCAACTCACTGCACTGCCCTGAACTGCGTGCAGGGAGCCCCACTATCGTCCTTCTCTTACTTGTCCTCGATGCCCAGGGAGTAGCCGATGGTCTCCCACATGTGTACGAATCCGTCCAGGAGCTCCTCGGTGGCGTTGGCCAGGCCGTACTTCTCCGGGAACAGGATCACGGGAGCAACGAAGGCCCACTGGGTCATCGCCATGTCGTACTGGCTCATCCACGATTTGGGCTTCTCGTTGTCCTGCTTCTGAAAAGGTTTATTTGTAGCACCAGTGACTCTTCAAGAAACAAGTGGTACACAGCGGTGCGCGGCTGCGCGGCTGCGCGGCTCTCACGTTGTCGATGGTGTTGTCCACGGCGGAAGGCGAGCGCTTTCGGAAGGGGCACGCGGAGCTCGCCACCTCATCGAGGTCGCGGCGCACGGCCGCGCTGGCGGGGCAGCCTGAGAAGTTGCCGCCGAGGCGGGTGCGGTTCCGGACGCCCTCCTGGTCCGGTCTCTCGTTCATGTCCAGGCGCACCATCCGGTGGAGGCCGCGGACACGCTTCATCTGCTCGTAGCCCCACGTGCCGGGCTCGTAAATGTCCGACGAGTACCACGAGCCCACACCCGCCACCGTGTCGTAGTACCTGAGCAAGCCCGCCAAATGAGTCCACTGTTGGGGTGCGACAGTGCGAGGACTCTCACTCTCTTACCTGTCCCACGCCTCGTCGGGGGTGTCCGAGTTGCCGGTGTAGACAAGCACGTCCAGCACGGAGGGCACGGCCATCACCATGTACAGGGCCTGGATGTGCGCGTACGTGATGCCCACTGGGTAGATCTCCGTAAGGCGCTGTCCGGCGGCGAAGCGCTTCCGGTCGTACCAGGGCGGCGGCGTGTTCTCCGGGACGCCGGAGTCGCCGTACGCGTGCGGGCCCTCCGCCACCAGACGCTGCAGCACGGGCTCCAGGCCGTCAGCCACCGATGCCTCCGGGCACCACAGCGACGCGGCGCCGGCCCTGAGAGGGAGGGGCCAGCGGCAGGGGCCGCCAGGGGTTACTCCAGGATTCTAGGGCGGTGCTAGTCTGACCCTGACCATCGCGCAATGCGTCAGCACTTTTAAATTTCGTTAGATGTAAACAAACTAGAAATGCCTGTCCCCGGATGGGTTCCTCCAGGTTGCCCTCACCTGCCGGGGAAGGCGCCGACCGCCCTGGAGGCTGCCAGTGCCGCCACAGCGACACACGCGAAACGCACAGTGGCGGAGGCCATGTCGTTGCAGTGCACGCGCGAAGAGGTGGCCGTCGACTACCAGCCACTAACCGCACCGGCCACCGACCGGGCACCGCCGGGCCAGCCACGTGAAATCAATCCCCCGCCTCGCCTCGCTTTGCCTCGCTTTGCCTCACGCTTCGCGAAGCTTCACCGACCGACCGCGCGGCGCGAGCCCGCGAGGCTCTGGGAGTCATAAGCACGGGCACGGTCCGTCCACTCATTGGCACCTGTGTTGTCAACGTTTCACTCGTTCTGCCCGGTTCTGCCGGTCTGGAGGTCGAACTGGAAGGGCCCACGGCCCTGCAGCCTGCACCGCGCGCTGCTGACCCACTTGTGCGTTTTCTCGGTCCTGTCCCGCCGGAACACCTGGTCCCCACAGGACTGACCAAATTCTTGGCCGGAACCTCCATTTCCGCTGCACTGCCCGAACGCCCAGGCAGCACAGCGCAGGCTAGGCGATGATTTGCATGTCCCCCAGTCGATCGTTAGGCCCGAGCGGGCCGTGTCGCGATCACCCGATCGCCGCGCGGAATAGCGGCGTCTCTCGAGACACGCTCGAGGTACTTGTTGGCGTTGTGCAAGGCATCCCGTCCCGTCCCGTCCGCACACGCAGGTCGGCATCAGTTCCTCAACGCGCGGCTCGTTGGATAGCCCATTGTTTGTCGCATCCGGATTAAATTAACCCTTTTTTATCGGTCCGCCCAACGCGCACTGTACTAAAAATTTTATCCCTGCGTGTTCGCCTTGCCAAAGCTACACCACTGCCGCGGTGCTTAACTTGTCTCTCGGGTCAGAGAGTACTAGCAGTGGGTACTAAGCAGGCGGCACCATTGGGAAGCTTCCCGTTCCCCTTCGTACCCGTCGGAAAACTACTGGCTAGTCGTTTGAGATCGCGCAAAAAACACATTAGGCCGCCTGATATGGAAACCACGCCGCGGCGCATTGGAATCTCTTATTTGCCGTGGACCGTTTGTGGTGAGGTTGAGATTCGCAACCGTTGGCTCGCAGATTGTGACGTGTTTCTAGATTCTGGTTTTGGTGCCCTGTTTGCAGTTTGAAAATTGACCACCTTGTTTTGTTTGTGCGTTTTCCAGAAGTTTTTATTTTTACCTCTCCACGGAGGTTACGGGCAGGTCGCCCGAGCTCGGATCGTTTTGTTGACTCGAACGCTAAAGGTCTGCAGAGGCCTAGCAGCGTTGGTGATTACGTTGCCTGCCGGTGTGTTTGGATTCTCCCACAGTTTTGGCACACGAACGACATGACGGTGTCGCGTCCCATTTAAATGTAATCAAAGAGATGAAAATGGGGGCGAGCGGGATGTTAATCACTGCACTTTACTTTTTCTGTGTTTATTCCAGTTCGTTGTCCTGGGCGCAGCGTCGGCAGCGTCACGACGGGTCACGACGTCACGGCAGGGCGGCGGTGATGCAGGCCTTGAGGGCGTCCACGGTCGGCTTGAGCGCGTCAGGGAACGCCTTGCCGGCGATGCAGTCCACGATCTGCTTGGCCATCGAGGAGGGCGCCTTGCCGTCTTCTAGACCGTTCAGGCCGTCGTTGACGCATGGGTCCACCTACAAAACAACAAGTTGTTGCTTTTGTTCCAAATTTCAACACCCCAGAAATAATATTTTTATTATTTTAAAGCCTCTAGTATTCGGAGTTGATATTTTGACATCAAAGTAACGTTTTTCCACTTCAAAATTTACAACCTAAAATCCGGAGTAAAACAGGGAGTGAGACCAGAAAGGAAAAGACAAGGAAAATGGAAAAGAAGGGCAAGTGTCGAAAGGTTCCCCAGGACGACCCTTTCTCTCACCTTGCCGAGGTGGTCGTACGTGCCGTCCGCGATGAGGTTGGGCGTGGCGATGCGGACACAGCGCTCCACGGCGGCCTCCTGCGCGTCGAGACCGTCCTCCTCCGACGAGGACGACGCCGAGGAGTCGCAGAGCACCAGGGCGGGCAGCTGCGTGAAAAACACGCCCGGTCAGTCGCCGCCGGGGAGGCAGGCATCCCAATCGACGCGCCGGGAGGCGGGCTGGCCGCCGCCACGGCGCTCCGCGTGACTGTACACTGTACTCACCGCGGCAAGGATGCAGAGCATGCAGAGCATGCAGAGGGCCAGCATGGTGTCGGCGCGGGCCATGGCGGCGTGTGGCGGAGCGGCGGGGGCACTGCGTGCGTCGACGTGCAGTGGCCTTTTTAACCACCGCTCCGCTTGCAGGCCATGGTGTACCCAGGTGCGGTGCTCGGCCCTGGCAGGGGGGCAGCTGTCCACACCACTGGACGGGGTATAAAATAGCGACGCTGCTCGCCAGCGCGCCACCGCGACACTGCCGCACCGCCGCACGACCGTGCCGTCATAATGGCCCTGTTGATGAACACCTGGACGCTGGCTCTCGCCTGCTGCCTCGTCGCCGTGAGTCGATAGACCCAAGTGTCAACGCAGGGTCATACAGAAACGAGAGCCGGATCAAATTATTTGTTTGTTTAGTTGAACGCTGTGGAGGCGTCGTCGTCCAGCAGCTCCTCCTCCTCGTCGTCGTCCGAGGCGTCCGTGTCCTCGTCCGAGGAGAGCCTCTCGGCGCGGCTCGAGTCCAGGATCCACCGCTGCGTCCGCGGCGCGTCCCCCGGCCTCGTGCTCCCCGTCGGCAACTTCGAGCAGCTCGCCAAGGTTGAGGCCTGCGCGGACGACGGCATGACCGCGCTGTTCGGCGGCACCCCGGCCGCCGCCGTCAAGGACATGCTGGACGGCTGCATCGACGGCAAATCATTCCCGGACGCCGTCAAGCCCGCCGTCGGCCTGTTCAAAGACTGCATCGCACGCGCCCTCAAGTGAAAAGAAAAAAAATTGTTTGCAAATAAAATTAATCTAAAAGTGCTTACGAGGCATTTATTTCCACCTTTCCCACACGAAGCTGCCACACGAATCATGGCAGACATGCAAAGAAGATGGCCTAATATTGCTCCGTTTGGGGTGAAGTACGATTTCCCGCGTTGGAACGGACGCAAGTCAGCCCAAACCGAGATTTCCACACATTTGTCACCGTTTTGACCAACTTTGCGGCAAGGCAGCTTTCAAATACCGAGGCGGGAAATTGCACTCCGTAAAAAAGCACCCTAAATAAAACATAAAAAAATACTGCCCCAGGGTGTACGATTTCCCGCCTTGAATCGGACGCAGTGGCCGTTCAAAGTCAGCCCTAACCACGATTTCCACACATATGTCATCAGTCTGACCAACTTTGCGGCAAGGCTGCTTCCAAACCGAGGCGGGAAATCGCTCTCCGTAGAAAACGCACTCCAAAGAAAGCATCCAAGGATACTGCTCCGTTTAGGGAGTCCGATTTTCCACCTCGGATCGGACCCAGTGGCTGTAAGCCCAAACTACGTTTTCCACGCATTTGCCACAGATTTGACCAACTTGCTGCTTTGTCTCGCGATCGCGATCATGACGTCACTAAACAATCAGTCGATCTGCCAGGCTGCTAAACAGCACACACAACTAAATAAATTTGGCCAGTCGGTGCAATCGGAGTGCAGACTTGGAGTAAAACAATATGAGGGTCAGCGCTTGATTCTTTTGAAAAACGCTTATGCCAACCTGATCAAACACGGTCTTTGCCCGTCCTCTGGGTACAGTATAAACCGGCGCGGCGTGTGCGGGTCACACACGCCTCCGGCATGCTGCGGGACGCGGACGCCAGCCAGCGCGCGCTCTGCGTCGCCGCCATGCTCGTCCTGATGGCGGTGAGTGGCCGGTGCGGACGGGCGATTCTGTGGGGCCTTCCCGGAGTCACTCATTTTTTCTCGATCAGGGCTTCTTCTCGACGGCTCTGAGATTGCTGATTCGGGGCTGCTGCCCTGGAGAATGCGTAAGCTTGGCCTAAGCACCTCCCCGCATCACGCCAGTCCCGCCCGATCGGATCGCGGTGATGGCAAACTATCCGCCCGGGGTCCCTAACCTCCCTCGAGGCCACGGTGGCCGTCCTGGCCGCCCTGGCCGTCCAGCCCTAGCCGTCCAGCCCTGGCCGTCCAGGCCGCCCTCGCCCCATTCCTCTGATAAATGTCCGCCTTGGCCTTGTTGGCCTTGTCAGGTGCCGCCCGGGCGGGGCTGCTGCTGCGTCCACCGCCACCACCACGGCGACTCGAGCGCCGCGTCCAGCGAGGAGGACGCCGTCGGCAGCGGCGACGCCAGGATCCAGCGCTGCGTTCGCACCTCGGCGCCGAACCTGCTCGTCGAGGGCACGTACGCGCACCTGGCCAAGGTGAGCGCCGCCGGGCTTGGACAGCGGGCCAGCTGTAGGCCGTTGCCTCATTTGGTGCTAAATTCCAGGTGGATGCCTGCGCCGCCCGCGGAATGGACGCCATCGCAGCGGGAACGCCACCGCCAGTCGCCGCGGACGTCGTGGCGGCGTGCGTCGACGGAGAGTCGTTCCCTGACTCCGTCCTGCCCTTCGTCGCGGACTTCAAGGACTGCGTGAAGCGGGGCCTCACCTGAGTCTGTGACCAAGCCAATGAGCCAATGACGAATACATTTCTCGAAAAGCGACGGCGACAGTGATTATGCAAACACGGCGACAGAGTGACAGGTGCGATGGCCGATGGCTTGCCGATGGCTTGCCGGTGGCTTGCTGTGGCCGGGAGCGGCGCCCCTTTCCTTTTATTAGTTTATGCCGCTGCGAAAGTTTGCCGGCACGGTCCTCTTCTTAGCAAACAGAAAACTTTGCCAGCGGCAATAATGTCGACCCACCTCCCCTCTCTCTCCCTCCCCCACCGATGCCCGATGGGAGTAACGGACTTTACTTTTGAGCAGCTCACTGTCTTGGAACTCCATCACGGTGCCTGGGCTTGTGCTTGGGCTTGTGCCGTGGGGCCGCGGACCGATTTGGGTAGAGGCACGCAGTGGGGCCACAGTGTGGGGCCGAGGCAGCAGGGCCGTGGTAGGGCCGGGGAAGAAATGAGTCGTCGCCAACTTTTCGCAGCGTCTTGCAAGTCTTCCCTTCGTAGGCAACCATGCAGGGCCATGTGATGAGTCCTTGGAAGTTTCTCATATCGTTACACATTTTCACCCCGATGCCCTGTTATAGCCGTCCTTGCCAAATCCTTGGTCCTGGCCAAATCTGCGCGCGGGGGCACACAATAAAGGCAGGGAGGCCGGCCGTGGGAGTTTGCCGGGGTTGGCGAGTGCTGCCTTGAAGGCTGGAAGGCGCTGGAAGGCCAACCTAGCCTAGTCACACCTGATGGACGACACGCGAGATAACGGCCCTTGGCGCCCTCGGCCTTCGCCGCCTTCGCCCCAACGACGCGGAATATGTTCTGATCGGAATCTTGCGATGAAGCTTTCAAGGGCGCAAGATGGCATCTCTCCACTCCACTTTTCGGAGCCGCATTTTGCGGCGGCCCGTGGCGACAGGCACCCCCTGGCCGGCACGGCTAGACCGGCACCACTGTACCGAGTTTACGACATGCGCCAAAGTATTCAAACGGGGCGCTCTGTCTCTGTCCCCCCCAGTGTGTGGCGCAGCCGGAACTGCTGGTTTACGAATAAATGAGCGAGATGAAGCATGAAAGGCGGACGGCATGGTGTGATTGACGTTGACCTTCGGCCGACGCCCCGTAGCTCCGCGGCTCCGCGGCGCGGGGCGTGGCGGTAGTGCCCCTGGCCGCCCTGGCCCCAGCCACCCCAGTGGGGTGACCCCGGCCCCTGCTGAGCCGGGCGCCGCAACCCGCCGGACGGCCGCGTCGACTGAGTTGCCAGCTGCGGCCGCCGAGGGGCGCCCCGTGCCCATGCCCGACGAAGCCCGACGAACCGAACGGCCTCGGCTCGGCTCGGCGCGAGATTCAAACCGGAGAGAAAACAGCCGCGGGAATCTATTTGTGGTTCGGGATCCGGGATTCCAATCTCGCCACTTTGGGCTGGACCCCCCCCCCCCTCCCCCCCTCCCCCCAGGTCACCGTCGCCACGCCGGACTTAGTCTTACAGAGTCGGGGTGAGTTTGCCCCTGCAGGCGGGCGGGCAGGCGCTGCAGGGTTGCTCTTGGTTTACACGTCCCAACGGCCAAAGTTTTCCCCGCCGTTCCGAAAATGGAATGAAATCCCCCCACCCCGGATCATTTCCATCGGCGTTGCTTATTTACTGGTCCTAATGACGGCCATGGGCATATTTCACGCGCGAGTCGCTCCAAGTTGTGCGTCGCGGGGACGCGTCCTCGTCGTCCATGAACTGGGTTACGCGGTGCTGCCGTTTTACGGGGTGCTCCTTGCAACTCTAGAACTGCATCGCCAGGGAAGCGCAGCCCTCTAGAATGAATTCGCTGCACCCCGTCCCGCCGTACCCTTCTCGAATGTATGGTCAAATGCCCGTGAAAAATTTATGTCACGATGATTTCATTTTCTGAAACGACATTAAACGAGGAGGGTTTACATTCAGAGGGAATAGAATACGCAAGAGGCACTTCCGGCGAGACGACATTTGTAGCAAAGATGGTCCTAAATTGACCGGGTAGGACATTTTTTCCGTCGCCAAAACATCTCCCCGGGACCGATCCCGATCTGGCCTAACCCCAATCGCGCCTCCCATCGCGCTACCCTGCCGAGCCCGGCAGCCAGCCATGCAGCCAGCCACGGAGCGACACCATCCATCAAGGGGAATCTTCTGGAGCGAGTTGTCAACGGCGGCGACAATGTCAGGCCGGCTGAAGGTGGCCCGGGGGCTGCAGCTCAGCCCGACCAAGTCCGATCGGGTTGCTCGGCCCGCCTCACCTCTGCCCTGCTCGCAGCCCGACAGCCCTGGCAGCCCCGGCAGCTGGCCACAGCCAGCGAGAGCTGAGCCGCCCCGTCAGCCCCCTCATATCAAGGCCGCGGCCGGGGGGATTAGTCTGGAGTGGGCCGTGTTGGTGGTTTTGGTGACGTCGTCACTTCGTCACGGGTCGGGACGGCCGGGACAGCGCGAAGTCGAAGTAACGACGTCGACGTCGTCTCTTGGACGTCGCGCTGCCCGGCCTTCCCGACCCGTGACGAAGTGACGAAGGGGAGTGACTGATGCCCGCGGTGACTGCCACGAGTTTTCTCCCCAGCGCGAAGGCGAAACTCACTGCCGCCTTCAGCTCGAGGAAACCGATCAGACAACGCGTTGTCGTTCGTCGTCCAAGTTCCGGTTCCGTAGAGTCCCGTGGGATCCAATTTGCAGGAGCAGCTCTGATTTGCTCGATTTGGTTCGACGAGCCGCGCTAGCCGCGCCGGACAGACGGGGCTGGCAGCTCAGGGCGGCGGCACGAGCACGACGCGACGGGGCTGCATGCTGCCAGCTCTGCCGGTGCGGCCCCCTAGCGCTGCGGTGCGCTGTGGCCCCGAGCGGAGCGGAGCGGCCGGCGGCATGGCATGGCGTAGCGGGGCACGGGCACGGCGGCACGGCGTGCGAGCACTCCCGTCTCTGGCCAGCCCCGCCACCGCGCGCCACCGCCAGCCAGGCTCAGAGCATGCCGCGCCGTCCCCGGGGAAGGTTCATCTCGTCGCGTCCGTGTCCGCTGCGTCCTGCCGTCCGCGGTCGCGTTTCGTAGTGCTGCCCCGCGCCGGTCCGCCGGTCGACGCACCGAGTGACCCAGTGTTACCTGGCTGGCTGATTGCCTGGCTGACTGCTTGGCCCCCGTGGACGACGTGCGAGTGTGGATTGTGCAGTGACACCCGACCCATCCGCTGTCACCGCCACCCCCTGGACGACAAGGACGCCCCGACACCCCCCAGGATGACGGCGAGAGCGCGCCTCGAGTGATGCCGTCGGCCATGTCCCCGGCGCCCGGCTAACGTCCTCGAGTGTGCGTGTGTGCGTGCGGACGGCTGTTCGTGAGACTGTGCGTGTGCGTGCGTCGCAGGACCTCCCGGACAGTGGCCGCTCCAGCTCTGCTTCCTCTCTTCCGTGCGGGTCGCTGAGCCGAACGCCGCCCGGAGCGTCGCGACGCAGGACGCAGGGTGAGTCGAACCTCGTCGTTGTGAGTGCGGGGCCGGGCGGGGCGGGGGTGTCTGGCCAGCGCACCGCGGCGGCTGCGGCGGCTGCGGCGGCCGTCTACCCCCAGCAGGCCGCGCGGGCCACGCCTCGCACTCTAAACAGTGCGTGGAGTTCTTCCTTGAAGTTAATGCCCTGCCAGTGAGAAGGAGCATCTCAGCACGCCCCGCGCCCCGCCAAAAGGCGAAGACGGCTTCAATGTCCATCAAGTGTAGGGGCGCTGCACGGCGGCGCGCCGCGCGCTTCGGCGGCGTCTGGTTAGCGGCGGGATTTGTATCCGCGCGCCGCCGGCCGATTCCGCCGAGCGGTTCGTCACGTCACGCCGCCTCTCTCGCAGCCCTACGGCCCTACGGCACGCACGATAGTGCGAGAGAGGCAGCGATAGAAGCACTGCTCGGAATGAGTCTGGTGCGGGTGACTGGAGGTTTCTGAATCGCGCTGCATGGGCTGCATGGGCTCCACGCCCGGGGCGGCTGGGAGTTACCCACCAACCCACCCCGGTATGTTGTTTGACCACTGGGCGTGGCGTGGCGCGGCGCGGCGCGGCCCATTCAGCGCGGAGCGTTGGGCAGTGCAGGCCCGCCTAATTATCACATGCAGCCCGTACGTTGAGCGTCGGACGTTGTCGGTGACACGGAGCAGCAGCACAGCAAGGAGCTCCCCAGCAAGGCGAAGCAAAGCGGTGTGGTGGCGTGGCCCTTCCCTTTCCCGCCGACGCCGGGACGCCGGGACTCGCACTCTCGACGTGGACGCCCTGCGCGCACTCTCCGAGTCTCTCCGCGTTATCCTCCTCGCCTCCGCCACTCTCGAGGCCATAAAGGCTAATCAGAAAATGAGAGGAAAGGAAGAATTCGTGTCGCCTCGTCGCATATATCATCTCACGCGGGTCCTTCATTTACGCCGCCATTTTCTTTTACTGCTCCTTTTTATTATTTCTCTAATTTTTATTTCTGGAACTCTTAGCACGCCGGCTACCGCGCTGCCGCGCGGCGGGGACAGGTGGTCTATTAATTCAGTTTTTATCACCGCTGCGGCCCTTGCGGCCCTCTAATCCCTTTTATTGGCTGCATTTATCGGCGATTTTTTCTTTTTTTTCGGGCTTGTTGGTCGCGCTGACGAATGAGCGGCCAGCAGCGCGGCGTCGTCGATCACCCCGTCGAGGGGCCGCCCCGCCGACCGACTGGCCGGCCGGCCGATCCAAGCGCCGACCGTCCGATCGTCCGACGAGCGGATTAAGTCCACACTCGCGGCTCGCGGCTCGCGGCGTGAGAAGGGCGAGAGTCCGCAGCACGGCGCGGCACGGCGCAGCGCGGCTTCCGTTTCGCCGGGTAACGGCCGGCTTACAGTGGAGTATGGAGGCCCGGCCGGCCGGGCACCGAGCCGGGCAGCGCCACGCGCTCAAAAAGTACAGTCGTCTTCATGCCGTGCATCGGGGCGTCGGGGCCGGTCGCCCGATCGGACGGATGAGTGTGGACTGGGGCGGGGACGGAGAAAATTGACAAGCCGCTCGCATGGCCAAAAGTTTGGCAAGCCCATCTCGCTGTCGG